CAATATGTATCAGAAAATGTAATAAAAATTTGGGGTGATTTCGGAGCCATTTTTTGGAAAAAACCATGGGCTATAGCCTTGGATAATTTTCAAAAATTGGCCCATTTAAAAAAATGGCCATAATATAGCCTTGGATAATTTTCAAAAATTGGCCCATTTAAAAAAATGGCCATAATATAGCCTTGGATAATTTTCAAAAATTGGCCCATTTAAAAAAATGGCCATAACTTGAAAAATATTTGTCGGAATCAGCTCAAACTTACTACACAACATAAGTACATCAATATGTATCAGAAAATGTAATAAAAATTTGGGATGATTTCGGGGCCATTTTTTGGAAAAAACCATGGGCTATAGCCTTGGATATTTTTCCAAAATTGGCTCGTTTTTTTAAATGCTCATAAATCAAAAAATATTTTCAGAATCAGCTCAAACTTGCTATATAGCATGAGTACATCAATATGTATATATTATTACAGAAATAACTGATTACATATTATCATTACTATTGCAATTCATCACTTGATTACCTCTCCTACTCCAGTTAACAATGAAACTGACTTAAGCATTGGTAGACAATGCTTTACTAACATTTCACAGAATCTAACGAAATTATGAACCTACGAAAAAATTAATCACATGACGATCACATGATTACCTGATGATTGTATCTGATGTAAGGATCCTCTACCTCTACCCAGGTGATTCCTCCTTTCTCTAAGCATGACTTAAAGATTGTGTAATAACTATAGCCAGTAGCTCCCTCTGGAATATGAAGATACTTTACTTGTTGCTTTGATTGTACTGGAAAATTAGACAAGAATAATAATAAAGACATAACTACATGGATAATGAAGTATTTTTTATACTTGTAATCAAAAGTAGCTATGATCCACTCTTGATAACACAAAATAACCATACAGTCTAATGGTAGACCACAATCCCATACAGTCCCTTTACATGTTACCTTTCTCTGTTTTTGCTCTTTTCTTTATTTCTTCTGCACGAGCAAGATAACTCTCAGCTCTTTTTCTTATATCTTTAACTTCAGCCTCAGGTCTGTGTGCCATTAATGAAAGGAATTATATAATCAGTATTGTCCTACCTTCCTTCCATTGCTCTCAGTAGGTTTTGTATTCCTTCCTCGTAGCATATTAAAGCTTCTGAATATTTCTCTGATTTATCAAGCTCAACAGCTCTTTTTAATAAATCTTTAGCTGCCTCCATGTTTTTTGATTTGTAACTGGGCGGAGATATTATAGATCTATATTGTACCACTGATCTTTTAATAAATAAAACAATGCATAAAAGTCAAGTGATAAAACAAGCTTTATTTCTTGTTGTCTTTATTTTTGTAATTTTTCCTTTTTTCTAAAAAAAATTTCAAAAAATTTTTTACTTGAGTTTCAAACCTTTTTCAAGTTCTTCCTCAAGACTCTTTATTTTTTCTCTTAACAGTGCGTTCTCTGATGATTTTAAATGTTATAATTTTAATCATAAATTTATAGAGGTACGTACCTTCTCTCAGCAACTCCATTTGTTCTATTTTTTAAACAAGCTTTACATAAATTTACAAAACTATAGGTTTATACTTGTTTCTATCTCTTTAAGTTGTCCATCAATGGAACTCATAGAAGACAGCTGCCTTGAAGCTACAGTAGCTATAGGCTCTATAGCATTAAAATAAAGTCAATTATGAATATTGCAACTAACTATACCAACCTTCTGGTCGTATTAGATCTACATGTATGTCTGATTTTTGACTTCGATCACCATCTTGTAACACATTTTCAAGCTTGCATTGAACTTTTGTTTCAGCTTCAAAGAAATTTGACAAAAATAATGCATATGCATACCTTCTGGTACTGCATCTTTTTTTGATGATTCATCTATATGTACATTATTAGAAACAGATCGCATAGGTTTCTCAGCACTTTTCCTAAATTACATAAGTCATTGATACACTGCATCATGTAAAGTCACCTTTCATTTGAAATAGTTCTTTGCTTCTCACATAATTTCAAATATTCATGCCAGCATTTTGTAGTATTGCCACCACGGTCAGGATGAGAGAGTGTGTCAAGCTCAAACTGCTTAACTTCTTCTGGACTTCCAATTGCAACCACATGAAACTTGGCCCTTGTTATGACAGTATTAAAGACATAAGGATTGAACAGACTCTTAATATAAGAGGCATTCATTTCATCATCTCCTACCAGTTCAAACAGACTTAAAAAGATAGCTTGAAACTCATGACCTTTTTATTTTAGAAGCAACAGTATACAACATTATACATGGATAGAGTAGCTCTCACCTTGTATCATAAAAGAAGGTTTAAAGCTAACTTTTCTCACTGTCTCATATTTGTCATAATCAAAGGCCATGCTTCTGATACGATTCAACTAAACAATTAAATTAGAAAATTATAGCAAATAAAAATATACCTGCTTCCTTGTTGATGTGATAATACAAACGTCATGTCGAGGATTAAATTTGGGATTTATTTGTTTCATCTTGTCCAGATATTTTCGAACCTGTTCTAAGACAATGCGTGCCTCGACCCCTTGCTGGTCTGGATCATCATAATGCTCAACCAACCTTGAGTTAGCAGACACAAATCTGTAGCCAGTAGGGCCACTGCATTTCTGAAATTCCTTGTCGGGATTTATCTCCAAATTCTCATAGAATAGGTTTGGCAACTCTATCAATGAATTATGTGATCGGTAATTCACTGACAATTTAGTGACATAACGTGTTGCTCCTGAACCAATCTCTTCATATTTCCCCAACAAACGCTGCAACAAGGAAACATTGAGCCCAAATTTCTTGGCTTCTTCTCCCAGTACCAATATATTAGGGCCGACCTAATGATGTACAATAATAATTTAAGATATAGTTTGAAAATTTGGTAGTCTGCAAATTTGTAGTTATATTTGCAAATTGTTCAAAATAAAACAAAATATATTTTGGCAATTTTATTATTATTCCACCAATGGCCAAAATATAACTCAGCTAATTTTTCCTGTTATACAGTAAAATGTTTAATCATACCTGCTGGGTATCACCTGCTAGGACTATTTTAGCATCTTTAGTAGCTAGAGCAAGTGGTGTGATAGCTTCAGGCTCACGGACCTGAGCTGCTTCATCGAGAAAAAGGTGCGTGAAGAAACCTTCGGGAGAGCAGAGGTATTGGTGGAGTTTTAGAGATGTGGTGTATGTAGCGATTATGATGACATGAGGCATTGTGCTTATGTCAGCACTTTTCTTGGAAAACTCATCTGGTGTCATATACATGTCGGCATAAACTCCATAATTTTTTTGTTTGGTAATTAAAATCACCTTAAAAGGAAGCGGACGAATTTTTTTCTCAATTACACCAAAGTAAGCAGTAATGAAGGTTGTAATTGATATTTCGTGGTGAGCAGAAATCAATATTCTGGTACATTTATTCTTATTGACACCATTCATCATCACTTCATATGCAGCACGAGCGAGGATTCGAGTTTTACCAGTACCAAACGGACCATAGAGAATGACTGGAGGAGGAGGTTTGCCAATAGATGGAGATTCAAATGCAATCATCTCTAGAGCTTCTAATTGATGCTTTTTATCTAGCTTCATGTAACGAAAATCAGAATGTTGAGGCTGAAATCTAAGAAAAGGATCAACAAAAGAAAAAACATCAGGCAACAGACACTTGAGGACATGCTCTGAAGCCTTGACGACAGCATGATGAAGATGATCAAAGTAGGAATATTTCACTGTAAACTCAGCAGAGATTCTTATCTCACTCCCATCTTTAACTTCGGTGCCATTCTTTATTGCTTCAAACAAACTGTTAGATGGATGATCAGCAACTATGTACATGCGATTTTCAAGGTGGTTGAAATTGTAGTGATGCTTAAATGCTATGCATAAACGTGTTGAGCTATCTGGTTGTGATATTGTGACGTTATCACTTGCTTGAGTAGCATACTCGATCTTATCATCGGATAAGCCAGAAATATAACCATATCTATACTTATGAAATGAATTTTGAGTAAGAAAAGGAGGGACTTTTTTTGGATCATATATTGTGAGCTTGTAATCTACACCATCACACCTATTGAAAATGATCACTTCATGATATATTTACAGTATGAAGCTGGTGTACATACTTTCTTGACAGCTTTTTAATATGTTCATCTTCTTCAAGCCACAGTGCACTATAGAAATGCTCCCGGTAATTATCAGGCGTCAAATCATTTAAGTGACTTTGTGGTATTAGCTGTGACGATGTAGGCTGCTTCTTTCGTCTTACGTCAAACTTTGCTTGCCATGGGACTGGTATGAAAACAGTAAGATATGGAGCTGAACTCTGATCATGAGGTCTTGATATTGGATATTGCTTTTTGTATGATCGACCCTGTTTTTCCTCTAGTTTTGAACTGGTACTCCACTTTTTATTTGTTTTTGGATTCTGACCATCAGGTGATTCTATTTATGTAAATTAATATTATTATTGGTTTCATTTTAAAATTACCTTCTGGCTGTTTAATCCTGATTCTGAACAAATAATCTAGTATCCCATTAATAAATGGATCATGCTCATTGGCTGAATCGTATAGCCCATAAATTATATCTTCAAATCGAACTTCTTTGCTAATCAAATGTTCTAATAGCTTCCTCTTTCTTTCCAGTTTGTCTTTCCCCACTTCTTTAATATGATCTAATATGCCCTCCTCAACTTTCATAATTTTTCCAAATTTGTACCAATCCTTCGAAATATGGACTGCAACTTCATTAACGTCTTCTTGTCCCAGATACATTTGAAGATCTGGAACATCAAGACATTTCAATCGCAGTTTGCTTTTCATTCTTGTTAGAAAATCTAAATGACACACATAAATCTATACAAATGTTTTTAATACATACTTTCTTTCATTTCATATTCTAGTTGTATTTCCTGCTGCCGCCTTTCTTCCTTTTCCCGCTCTTCCTGTTCTTGCCGCGCTTTCTCCTGCTCCTTCTTAATCTCAATCATATCTAAAAAATATTATCATTAAATGAGATCAAATATGTAAGTAACATGTACATGTAATGTGAGTTTCTATTGTAGAGTATAAAAACTTACTTTTCATCAAGCAGTCTAGTGCTTGGTCAGCAATATCAATTCTGTCAGCATCACATAAACCAGATATGAGATTGTAATATGTGGCATCATCTCCATTCTTTTGTTTCCACTTGTTTAAAAGAGCTACTCTTCTACTTTCTTCAGAGCTATTATCAACTTTGATGGCCTTGATTTCATCAGCTACAATCTTCAAGTACAACCCAGCAGTGTCCCAGTTACCTAGTTTTTTACTCAGTTTGAGTAGGACACTATCACTACACTGATGAGCTCTTAAGTCATCAAATATAAGTTCCCTTGTATCTAGATGATCTTTGAAGTCTGTCTCTATAGAATTAATCAATAATTAACACACCCTATTATATAAAACACTTACCAAAACTGAGGTTAGTCCCGGCTGGGTTAGCTGCCACTGCCATCTTGTTCAAACACAGTACTACCTTAAAAGGTAATGCTACAAACTGGGGTGGACCATAGAGCATGTGACTATCATATCATATACATGCAGACATAGCAATGAATATAATCCTTTTAGGTTTTCCCTACCAAATAAGAAAATTATGACATTAAATTAATGCAGCAAACACATCTGTAGCTTTTAAATGTACATCTACTTGCATGTTCACATCCCTCTTTTAAAACTTAACTCTTATGCAATGATCTCATTGTGGGCTGAAACTAATCCCACAAGAATAGACTGAAACAGATGCACTTTGTCTAACAACACAATAATCTTCTTGTGCAAATGAACGATAATACACATTTACACATAATGCAGTCACACACACACAGAGATAGAAGAAATTATAATGATAGTTCAAACTTTAAATTAATTGAGAGATGTAGTTATAAGAAAGGGTTTTTTAAGAAAGGTGTCACAAAAATGAATTAAGTCAAACACTAATAATTAATAATTAATTAACAACAACAACAACAATGATGATTGCAGTTTTCTATGATTCACCATTCTTTAGAGCCTATAAAGATGACTGCTGCTATAGCAACAAGACTGATGAAATGCTTTAATCAAAAGAGATCATTCACAAATACAGACACAAACACATTACTACAAGACATAATACCATTGAGACTTTTTATATGTACCGGGTACATGTACATGTACAGTACATGCTATAATATTTAATAATGTATCCACACACACACATATACACATATACACATGCATAAACAAAACAGAGTTTAAACAAACAATAAATTAATAGAATATTCCGAAAAGAAAGTACATAAAGAGAAAGTAGAATCCACATGTATTTTACTATATACAATGTACCTGTACTATACACATAAAACCATACAATGTATACAATGTATACATCAGGGTTTCCTGCAGGATTTTCAAGCAGCTTCTTGTCAGTGGATTGTCAAGTTGCTACATATTTTTTTTTGTTTTTCATGTCCTTACAATATTGTGTATCAATTTTGAGCTGATATCGATCAAATTTGGATTTTGAATAAATTTTTAAAGTTGCTCAAAAATTGAGCCAATGACCTAGGTTATAGCCTTTGGTCAAAAATTAAATTTCACCAAAAATGGCTGAGAAAATTCTCAATTTTTATAATTAAAAGAAATGCTCAAACTTGCTACATAGCATAAGTACATCAATATGTATCAGAAAATGTAATAAAAATTGGGGGTGATTTCGGAGCCATTTTTTCAAAAAAACCATGGGCTATAGCCTTAGGTACTTTCCAAAATTTAGCCAATTTACAAAAATGTTCATAATTTAAAAATTATCTGTTGGAATTAGCTCAAACTTTTAAAACAGCATAAGTACATGTACATCACTATGCATATTACATAAATAACATTACATATTATTATTACTATTACAATACATGAAATTGATTTAAGCATCTAACAAAATTATGAACCTATAGATCAACCTTCCTTCCATTGCTCTCAGTAAGTTTTGTATTCCTTCCTCGTAGCATATTAAAGACTCTAAATATTTCTCTGGCTGAACAGCACTGATGGGCGGGTCTATGGATTTGGAATTTTATTTTATTTTTAGTTTTGAATTAGAATAAAATAATAAGTGATTTAAACCATGTATAAAACATTGAATGTTATGCAGTTATACAAAAAAGGATCTTGGGAATGGTGACATTATCTAATGTACATGGTCTTTTATTTCTACGATAAAAATATTCAAGTAAATGATAACAACAAAGTATCACCTACTTTCAGCTACTGATGTCTGATCAATCTTTACAAGAGCATTAACCAATGCATTATAATTTGCTCCTCCATTCTTATCAACACCATCCACATGCTGTAGCCATGCCTCTAAGGTGGCTCTTAGGCATGCTTCAGAATTTTTAGGATTATTATTTTCAATTGTGTTCAGTTTTGGTGGAAATAAACCTAACTTTAGTCCAAGGACCTTCCATTCACTACTGTCAAAACTGTTTTTCTTTAACACTGAATCAACTTCATCCAAATCCTTTATACTTAATTCTTGTTTCATACCTACAGTATATAAAACCAGAATGCTGATTGAATGCATGAGGAGACTAAGCAGCTAATTAAAATAAAACTTACGTTTGTTGAATTTAGTGTCTTTGCTCTCAGTCTCAAGATTACCTAGAGTAGTACACTAAATAGCCCACAAGTCGTAACATAGGCCACTTACTTGTACTAGGATTCACAGTGATAGTTGTTGGGCGTTTTGCACCTTTCAATGGAAATTTTAGACAAGTGCTGACAACAAAAGGACCACTGCCACTCCAATAAAGCATAAATTGCATGTTACTCTCTATATCCTCCTGACTTTGAAGCTCATCCTTTTCATACTACAATCACATTATGTAAATATTGTGAAAAATGATATTCATGCATAGCTCACAGAAAGTGGAGTAAATTTTTCTTGAACTTCCCAATTTTCCACAGGTGGATCAGCAGTTATATTCAGCTCTAAAATTGTGCTGTTTTTTTCAAATATTACACCAAAGTCTTTTGTTTCCTGACTCCAGCCTTCATAGTCTGCATCATCCAGTAGCTACACAATAGCCATAAAACACAAGAAATATTTTGAGCAATTAACTTACACTTTTTCTCACACCATTAACTTGAGACCTGTAAATAACAAGGCTGTAGTCCCACTTGTAAATTTCAGACTTTTTGGAGAATAAAGCACCTTGAAATTTGACTTCAGAATTGGTACTTGCTGTTTTACCACTAAAACTGGTGAGCTTAAAATAGATATAAGATCCTTTGACACTAAAATCACCCAAGAATTCATTAAATATATATGACATATTCTGTGGGGTGTCTTCAGCTGTTAATATTTTGATCGATGAGCTTTTTACAATTTCTTTCACATTATGCCATATACCCAGTAATACAGGATTTACAAATTCTTTACTGCTTGATATCCAGTATACAGCACTGGCTGGTTTCCAGGTTTTTGGATCAGGATAAACATATGGGCCAGACACACTAACACGAATGACAACCTCAGCCAGAAAGCCACAAGGAAGTGCATCACTTGGAATATCAAGCATCAAACCATACTCCTCCCAGTGTAACTGACTAGACTGACCACCTGCTACTAAGAATCTATTTGATGCAATAACTTTGACACCTGGTAAAGGGCCTATAAAAGCATTATGATAATGATAACTAAATCTCATGTTCTTACTAATAAATATCTTGGGATCTGGTTTCCAGCAAGTAGCCACAAGAAACAATAAAAATATTGTATACATAAGACCCATTGAAAATTTCCTTGACACCTTCACTGTTGATGGGGCTCTAAATCCACGTCCACTGTCAATTTCTAACTTTTCTTCAGTCACTATAATTTCATGTCACAACTTCATGCACACAAAAATAAATTTTAAAGCTTACACTTTATCTTTTTGAATTGGCTCAATTCAGCAGCAATTTCATTATTCTTTGAGATCAAATTTTTATTTTCTAGTGTGTTGTGCAATGATATCATCACAGTCTCACCTATTTTATACTTTACCTTTTTTCAATTTCTTTGCTTCTTCTAACTTTGATTGCATAGTTGACCTCAAATTTTCCTTTTCTATATAATGATTATATAAAACAGGGAAACTTATTCTGTACTGTACCTCTTTTCAATTTTGCTGCATACATATCTTGGTCTTTTAAAGTTGATTGCATAGTTAATTTTTCTTTCTTCAATTCTTCTAGACAATTAGCAACTGACTCCTTTTCTTTTTGCACAGTAAATTTTTCTTCTCTTAATCCTTCTAGATGGATTTTAATTGAAGCAATCTCATCTTCAAATTTCTTTTTTGAAGTTTCTATTTCGACTATAATAAAAACAATTTAATTTTCATTAGGCATAAAAGATAAACTAACTTTTAAATTCTGATTTGCATTGGCTCAATTCTCCTTTGATAGTACTAATTCTTAAAGCTATTTTCTCTTCTGATATCTTTCTGATTACTAAGGTTCTCTATTAAATACACAACAATACCAATAAACTTACACTCTTCTTGGCATTGGTTCAACGTCACTTTCATTGTTCTAACTTCTTTATCCTTTACAACCAATTTTTCAGTAACTGATTTTAATTTCTCATTTAACATATGAATATTTTCTAAATCTAACAATTTTATAGCATAATCACAGTTGTGCACAAACATAAACTAACTATAAATTTCATCAGGGCTCAATGTATCACTCAATGCTGGAAGCTCATCTTCAAGTGACATAAATTCAGATATTTCCTCCTTTTCATTTAGTTCTAAAAGATTAAAATTAACTTACTACACATAAAATATGAAGTGATAGCTTACCAGAAACTTTATATGGCAACAATTGTTTACTATAGTAATGTACATACATAAAATTGAAATAGCTACCAAAATGTATAATGGTACATACCTAATACCACTTAAAGTTCCTTGCTTTTCACATAACTTCAAGTATTCATGCCAGCATTTTGTAGCATTGCCACCACGGTCAGGATGAGAGAGTGTGTCAAGCTCAAACTGCTTAACTTCTTCTGGACTTCCAATTGCAACCACATGAAATTTGGCCTTTGTTATGACAGTATTAAAGACATAAGGATTGAACAAACTCTTAATATAGGAGGCATTCATTTCATCATCTTCTACCAGCTCAAAGAGACTTAAAAAGATAGCTTGAAACTCATGACCTTTTATTATAAAAACATGTACATGAAAAGATTATACATGTACTGTAGCCCTCACCTTGTATCATAAAAGAAGGCTTAAAGCTAACTTTTCTCACTGTTTCATATTTATTGTAATTAAAGGCCATGCTTCTGATACAATTCAACTATAAAAAATAAATTAGAAAATTGTGGCAAGTAAAAATATACCTGCTTCCTTGTTGATGTGATAATGCAAACGTCATGTCGAGGATTAAATTTGGGATTTATTTGTTTCATCTTCTCCAAGTAATTTCGAACCTCTTCTAAGACAATGCATGCCTCAATCCCTTGCTGATCTGGATCATCATATTGCTCAACCAGCCTCGAGTCAGCAGACACAAATCTATAGCCAGTAGGGCCACTGCATTTCTGAAAATTTTTGTCAGTATTCAGCTCCAAATTTTCATAGAATAGGTTTGGCAAATCTATCAATGAATTATGTGATCGGTAATTCACTGACAATTTAGTGACATAACGTGTTGTCACTGGACCTATCTCTTTATATTTCATCAACAAACGCTCCAACAAAGAAACATTAAGCCCAAACTTTTTGGCTTCTTGTCCCAGCACCAATATATTAGGGCCAACCTAATGATGTACAGTAATAACTTTTTGATAGTATATAGTGTTTAATCATACCTGCTGGGTATCACCTGCTAGGACTATTTTAGCATCTTTAGTAGCTAGAGCAAGCGGTATGATAGCTTCTGGCTCACGGACCTGAGCTGCTTCATCAAGAAAAAGATGTGTGAAGAAACCTTCAGGAGAGTAGAGGTACTGATAAAGGTTGAGAGACATGGTGTATGTAGTGATAATAATGACGTGACTCATTGTGCTTATATAAGCACTTTTTTTGGAAAACTCCTCTGGTGTCATGTACATGTCAGCATAAACTCCATAATTTTTTCGTCTAGAAATTAAGATGACTTCAAAAGGAAGGCGGAATAATCTTCCAATTACACCAAAATAAGTAAAAATGAAGGTTGTTATTGATATTTCGTGGTGAGCAGAAATCAATATTCTAGTACATTTTTTCTTACTGATGCCATTCATCATTACTTCATATGCAGCACGAGCAAGGATTCGAGTTTTACCAGTACCAAATGGACCATAGAGAATGACATGAGGAGCAGGTTTGCCAATTGATGGAGATTCAAATGCAATCATCTCTAGAGCTTTCAACTGATGCTTTTTATCTAGCTCCATGCAATGAAAATTAGAATGCCGAGGATCAAATGTAAAGAATGGGTCACCAAAAGAAAAAACATCAGGCAACAGACACTTGAGAACATACTCAGGAGCCTTGACAACAGCATGATGAAGATGATCAAAGTAGGAATATTTCACTGTAAATTGAGCAGAGACACTTATCTCACTCCCTTCCCTAACTGTGGTACTATTCTTCACTGCTTCAGACAATTTGAGAGAATCAGGAGAAACAATATACATACGATTTTCAAGGTGATCGAAGTTGTAGGCATGCTTAAATGCCATGCATAAATGTGTTGAGCTATCTGGTTGTGATATTGTGATGTTATCACTTGCTTGTGTAGCATACTCGATCTTATCATCGGATAAGCCAGAAATATAACCATATCTATACTTATGAAATGAATCTTGAGCAAGAAATGAAGGAACTTTTTTTGGATCATATATGGTGAGCTTGTAATCTACACCATCACACCTATTGAAAATTATCCCATAATAATAATAATAATATTAATTTGCAGGATGCTAATGTACATACTTTCTTGACAGTTTTTTAATATGTTCATCTTCTTCAAACCACAGTGCACTATAGAAATGCTCCCGGTAATTATCAGGTGTCAAGTCATTTAAGTGACTACATGATATTAATCGTGATGATGCAGGTGGCTTCTTTCGTCTTTTGTCAAACTTTGCTTGCCATGGGACTGAAATTCTTTGTCTGATAACAGTGAGAGATGGTGGTGAACTCTGACCCTGAGGTTGTGACATTGGATTCTGTCTTTTGTATGACTGGCCCTGCTTTTCCTCTAGCTTTAAACTGTTATCAAATGATTCTGTTACAAAAGTGAATCACGTTATTTTCATTTTAATAATTACCTTCTGGTTGTTTAATCCTAATTCTGAACAAATATTCTAGAATGCCATCAATAGATGGATTATCCTCATCAGATGAGTTGTACAAACCATATATTATATCTTCAAAGCGAACTTTTTTACTAATCAAATGTTCCAGCAGCTTTCTCTTTCTTTCAATTTTATTTTTCCCCACTTCTTTCATGTGATCTAATGTACTTTCTTCCACTTTCATATACTTTCCAAAAGTATACCAATCCTTCCCAATAAGCTCTGCCACTGAATCAACATCTTCTTGTCTCAAATTCACTTGAAGATCAGGAACATCAAGACCTTTCGATAACACCTTACTTTTCATTCTTGTCAGAAAATCTAAACAAAAATGACACACATGTGCAGATTTTTGATACATACTTTCTTTCATTTCATATTCTAGTTGTATTTCCTGCTCCAGCCTTTCTTCCTTTTCTCGCTCTTCCTGTTCTTGCTGTGCTTTCTCCTGCTGCCTCTTTATCTCAATTATATCTGAAAGATAATAAGCATACAAGAAAGGATAATTAAACATTGTGTTAATGAATAAAGGCCCCATACGCTAGGCAACATGTTGCTAGCAACATTTGTGGTTACTTTGATCTTGCAACATGTTGCCTAGTCTTGCAAGCCAGCTTTCTATTTCCGAGGCTGGCAACATGTTGCTTACAAGATCAAAGTAACCACAAATCCCTGCAAGCAACATGTTGCTTAGTGTATGGGGGGCCTTTAGAGTATAAACCCTATAAAATCTAGATCTTCACAGTCACATTTTGGCAAATGGAGACCTTATCCACTATTTTTTCAGAAAACACTCAACAAATGAGTGTATAGCTAATTAACAATTACATTAAAGTGTAAGTGCTAAAACTCACTTTCTTTCAAACAGTCTAGAGCTTCGTCAGCCAATTCAATTCTGTCAGCATCATGTAAACCAAATATAAGATTATAATATGTGGCATCATCTCCATTCTTCTGTTTCCATTTGTATAACAACTCCATTCTTTTCTCTTCAATGGAGCTGTTATCATCTTTAATGGCCTGAATATCATAACGTGTGAGTTCCAAGGAATAACCAACTAGCTTCCAGTTATCTAGACTTCTACTCAGTTTGCGTAGCACACTCTCGCTACACTGATGGAACTTTAAATCATCAATTGTAAGTCCTTTTGTATCTAAACGATCCTTCAGGTATGCCTCTATAAATAATAATAAGTAGCAAGTAGTCATAATCAATTAGCAAGTAAATTCTTACCAAAGGTAACTGGGCTGGGGTCAGTCACAGGTCCTGCCATTACTATCTTGTTCAAACACTGACAAACACAACAGTGCTATAATACCTTATAAGGTATTAATACTAAGGTCTTGTGCCTAGCATGTGATTGCTATCATAAATGAATATCATAACTAGGCGGTTCAAGCTGTACATATACATGTATTGATAACTATTCCTATGTATAGTACCTTTCTAATGTCCCCACAATTACTAATTTGAAGGCTTTTCCTACCAAACAAAGAAGTCCTATAATTACTATCAAGAGTACTGTAAATTATGTACTCTTGTTACTATCAATAGTCAGCAATCAATAGCTTACTATTTTAAGTGCCAACTCAGCTCCCTGACCATATATGGCATTATTGGAATGCATACACTACAACTCATTGTGGGCTACAGTATTTTTATTTAACAACACAATAATTTCTTGTGTAAATACACACTTACACATAAATGCAGCTCACACACACAAAGAGATAGAAGATATCATATTGATAGTTTATTCAAATTAATTGAGAGCTACATGTAGCTAAGAAAGCATTTTTTTAAAAGGTGTCAGTGTCTTTAAAGCTTCTGAATATTTTTCTGATTTATCAAGTTCCACAGCTCTTTTCAATAAATCTTTAGCTGCCTCCATGCTTGAGGCTTGTATAGCATCTATGCTTAAGGAAAGGTGTGGCTGTGATTAATGTTAGATATACCATTCAAGATGATTTATTGGTGGGGAATTAACATTGGCAGTTCTATCAAGAAATCGCCAATATAAAATCAACCATTTTGTTTCAAACTGAGCATGCTTAATGGCACATGGCATAAAATAGCCAATATAAAATTTGCCAATTTCTTTCCACAGGCAAACTTGCCAAATATTACTCCTGCCAATAAATCATCTTGTATGGTACGTTAATCAAAAAATAAATTATATTTTTAAGTGATACATAATTTGCCACTAAAAATAATTATTTGAATTTATTCCTAACAATCATTCTTGGTTAAAAGTCACCATCACTATTTGACCTTCTCCATATTAGGATCAGAGATTTCAGTTTTTTTTCTACAATAATAAAAATTATTAGACCTATAACCTACTATGTAATATGCAAACTCACCTTTTAAACATAGATAGATCTATATGATGGCTAAATGTTCCCAATGCAGCACACAATTTCAAATATTCATGCCAGCATTTTGTAGTATTGCCACCACGGTCTGGATGAGAGAGTGTGTCAAGTTCAAACTGCTTTACTTCTTCTGGACTTCCAATTGCAACCACATGAAACTTAGCCCGTGTTATAGCAGTATTAAACACGTAAGGATTGAACAGGCTTTTAGTATAGGAGGCATTCATTTCATCATTTTCTACCAGCTCAAAGAGACTTAAAAAGATAGCTTGAAACTCATAACCTATTCATAATAGTCTAGATATAGATATACTTATAGTCTATAGCTCTCACCTTGTATCATAAAAGAAGGCCTAAAGCTAACTTTTTTAACTGCCTCATATTCTTTGTATCTAAAAGCCATTGTTTTGATGTGATTTAACTGCATAAATGTGTATTTAAAGAAAGGCAAAATATTTTTATAATTAGTACTATTACTGAGATCTAGATTTAGTTTACTCTATACCTGCTTCCTAGTTGATGTGATAATACAGACACTATGTCGTGGATTAAAGTTGGGATTTATTTGCTTCATCCTTTCCAAGTAACTTCGAACCTCTTCTAAGACAATGCATGCTTCAACCCATTGCTGATCTGGATCATCAAATTGCTCAATCAGTCTTGAGTCAGCAGACACAAAACTGTAACCAGTAGGGCTACTGCATTTCTGAAGGCTTTTGTCAGGGTTTATCTCCAAATTCTCATAGAATAGGTTTGGCAAATCTATCAATGAATTATGTGATCGGTAATTCACTGACAACTTAGTGACATAACGTGCTGCTACTCGACCAATATTTTCATATCTTTTCAACAAACGTTGCAACAAGGAAACATTGAGCCCAAACTTCTTGGCTTCTTCTCCCAGTACCAATATATTAGGGCCAACCTATAAAAGAAAAATTAACTTAATCTAAAAGCACAAAATAATTTAGTTACATTGTATGTACCTGCTGATGGTCACCTGCCAAAACTATTTTAGCATCTTTAGTAGCTAGAGCAAGTGGTGTGATAGCTTCAGGCTCACGGACCTGAGCTGCTTCATCGAGAAAAAGGTGTGTGAAGAATCCTTCGGGAGAGTAGAGATATTGGTGGAGTTTTAGAGAAGTGGTATATGTAGCGATTATGATGACATGACTCATTGTGCTTATATAAGCACTTTTCTTGGAAAACTCCTCTGGTGTCATATACATATCTTTATAAACACCATAATTTTCTCGTCTAGAAATTAGAATGACTTCAAAAGGAAGACGAAATATTCTTCCAATTACACCAAAGTAAGCAAAAATGAAGGTTGTAATTGATATTTCGTGGTGAGCAGAAATCAATATTCTGGTACATTTATTCTTATTGACACCATTCATCATCACTTCAAAGGCAGCACGAGCGAGGATTCGAGTTTTACCAGTACCAAACGGACCATAAAGAATGACAGGAGGAGCAGGTTTGCCAATTGATGAAGACTCAGACACGATCATCTCTAAAGCTTTCAACTGAAGCTTTTCATCTAGTTTCATACAACGGAAATCAGAATGTCGAGGATCAAATGTAAGGAACAGCTGACCGAAACAAAAAACATCAGGCAACACCGCAACAGACAAGGAAGAACGTACTCAGGAGCCTTGATAACAGCATTGTGAAGATGATTAAAGTAGGAGTACTTCACTGTAAACTGAGCAGAGATACTAATCTCACTTCCTCCTTCAACTGCTCTACCATTCTTCATTGCTTCGAGCAATTCAGGAGAATCAGGAGCAACTATGTACATGCGATTTTCAAGGTGATCAAAGTTGTAGTAATGCTTGAATGCTACACATATATCAGAGCCATCTGGCTTTAATATTGTGACATCGTCACTTGCTTGAGTAGCATATTCAATCTTATCATCAGATAAGCCAGAAATATAGCCATAATAAAAATCATCACTTTGATCAAAAAAAGAGGGAACTTTCTCGTGATGGTATATTGTAAGCTTACCTGCACCATCACACCTGACAAAACAAATCAAAATTATTCAGTACTTATTTTACATACTTAGTTGATAGCTTCTTGATATGTTCATCTTCTTCAAACCACAATGCACTATAGAAATGCTCCCTGTAATTATGAGGCTTCAAGTCACTTAGACTTCGTGTTATTAAATTAGGCTGGACTTCTCGTCTCTCCTCAAACTTTGCTTGCCACGGGACTCTTTGTCTGAAAACGGTTGGTGCAGTGTTGCTGGATGGACTTAATGGTGTTGGCTGTGCTGGATCCTGATATTGGGGGCATAGCTTTGGATATGATTTTAAACTCTGATTTTGCTCTTCCTTTTCAACAAGTTTTGAACTTTTATCATGCTTCTCATCTGCTCTTGGATTCTGACCATCTATTATGAAAAATAATTACACTAATTTCACTTTTACAATTTTACCTTTTTTAATCCTAATTCTGAATATATATTCTAGAACACCATTAATAGCTGGATTATGCTCATCAGCTGAATTGTACAACCCATATATTATATCTTCAAAGCGAACTTTTTTAATAATCAAATGTTCCAAAAGCTTCTTCTTCCTTCCTGGTTTGTTTCCTCCCACTTCTTTAATATGATCCAATGTGCTCTCCTCAACTTTCATACATTTACCAAATGTATACCAATCTCTTCCAATGAGCTCTGCTACTGACTCAACGTCTTCTTGTCTCAGATTCACTTGAAGATCAGGAACATCAAGACCTTTTGATAGCACCTTACTTTTTATCCTGGTCAAAAAATCTAAAAGGGAATGATACACATAATTATATACATGTAGATACATTAATACATACTTTCTTTCATTTTGAATTCTAATTCTATTTCCTGCTGCTGCTTTTCTTTTAGTCGTTCTTCCTCTTCTTGCCGTGCTATTTCCTGCCGCCGCTTTTCTTTTAGTCGTTCTTCTTCTTCTTGCCGTGCTATTTCCTGCTGCCTCCTTTCTTCCTTTTGTCGTTCTTCCTCTTTTCGCCGTGCTATTTCCTGCTGCCTTCTTATTTCAATTATACCTGAAAGAATATCCAAATTATGATTGATTAAGCTACTTGCATTCAAATAAATGAATAACAAGACAAAAAAGGATCAACATCAAATATGGGTGTACCATGTACCATTCACATGTGTTACATAATACCTAAAGGTGTTGTAGAGTATGAAAACTCACTTTCTTTCAAATAGTCTAGTGCTTGGTCAGCAATATCAATTCTGTTAGCATCATGTAAACCAGATATAAGATTGTAATATGTGGCATCATCTCCATTCTTTTGTTTCCACTTGTTTAAAAGTGCCACTCTTCTACTTTCTTCAGAGCTATTATTAACTTTGATGGCCTTGACTTCAGGAAGTGTGATTTCCAAGTACAACCCAGCAGTGTCCCAGTTATCTAAGTTTTCACTCAGTTTGAGTAGGACAATATTAGTACACTGATGAGCTCTTAAGTCATCAAATGTAAGTCCCCTTGTGTCTAGATGATTTTTGAAGTCTGTCTCTATAAAATTAATCAATAATTAACACACCCTATTGTTAAAACACTTACCAAAGCTGAGGTTTGTCCCGGCCACTGCCATCTTGTTCAAACACAGTGCTACCTTATAAGGCAATGCTACAAGCTGGGGTCAGTGGGGTGGTCTGCAAGGCCTGGAGCATGTGACTATAATATTACAGAGACATAGCAATGAATATAATCCTTTTAAGTTTTCCCTACCAATTAAGAAAATAATGACCTTCATTGATACAGCAAACACATATTCTAAATGTACAGTACATGTACATGTACCTATTCAGATTCTTCTTTTAAAACTTAACTCGTATGCAATGATCTTATTGTGGGCTGAAACTAATCCCACAAGACTAGGCTGAAACAGATGCACTTGTGTAATAACACAATAATCTTCTTGTGCAAATGAACGATGATACACACTTACACATAATGCAGCACACACACACAGGCACAAAGATAGAAGAGATCATAATGATAGTTTATTTATTTAAATTAATTGAGAGATAGCTATAAGAAAGCGTCTTTTAAAAAGGTATCACAAAAATGAATTAAGTCAAACACTAATCAATAATAATAATAATAATAATAATAATAATAACAACAACAATAATAATGATGATTGCAGTTTTCTATGATTCACCATTCTTTAGAGCCTGTAAAGATGACTGCTGCTATAGCAACAAAAAAGCTTCAATAAATAAAAGAGTCATTAACAGATACAGACACAAACACAATACAGTAAGACATAATACCATTGAAATCTTTTATATGTACAATGTACATAATATTATATGCCAGTAGCAACACACATGGATAAACAAAACAGATTTTAAATAAACAATAATGTAATAGAATATTCCAAAAAGAAAGTACATGTACATGTATATGAAAGAAAAAGTAAAACTTACTGTACATGTACACATAAAATCATACACAAAATTAATGTGGAGCATATGTACTGTACATGTACATTATAGATGTACATACACACATGTACACGTATTTCTTTTACTTTATGCATTTTCTTAGGTACAGGTGGTGGAACTGGTTCACTGTCTCTATTAAGACCAGCTGCAATATCTTTAACACTACGCAATGGAGAGGCATCAGGGCCAGGACCAGAATTACCCTCTCTCTGTTAACAAACACACAATGTACATGTACATTAATAAAAGTTATAATATTTACTCTTGAGCTGTGATTAGGGGAAGCAGCTGGTGACGTTTTCTCAAAACCTTCTTTAGATGGGGCCTCAGCAGATTTAGATTTACTGAGGCCAGTCCCAACATTACGTACAGAGGCTACTCTCGGGGGAGGACGTGGGCCATCGTCCGTAGCTTCTCCACTACTGGTCAGACTAGTTGGACGGGATTGATTAGGAGAGCCTGAGGGAGTACGAGAGTTTCCTCTTCTCAATGGAACAGTAGGAGGATCAGCAGCAACCTACATCAGTAAAACTCAGTAAACTAGTAGGAATAACAATAATACCATGTACATGCACATACATTTGATATTCACTCTGTGTTACCAGGCCCGTAGCCAGGGGGGGTTCGGGGGGTTCGGACGAACCCCCTGTTGTAGCTGCAAAAAAGTTTTAGAGTAGCTCCTGTCATGAAGAACAGCACTGCAAAAGCAGGATTAGCATTTTGGCAACAGCGAGGAGCACAGATAGCCATTATAGCTGAGTCAGCACATGGCTGAGATGCGTAAATTAAGACCACGCCTACCAACCACGCCCATTTTCGTCAACATTTTTGCTGTGCGCTTCGCGCGCAGCAATTTCCGAACCCCCTATTTCAAGTTCCTGACTACGGCCCTGGTTACATACAGTATATTATTAGTATACTATGATGTCGCATATTTTAGTATATCACAGTACATGTACATGTATATCATGAATGTAGTCTAGCACATTCATAGCACATATATAGTAATACATGAATAATTGAATATAGTTAATTTTACAACTCTCCAATTGGCAAGAGGCAAACCTGTCAATTTAGTTATAGCCAAACTATGGATAATATGTACACACACACACGCACACTGATTGACGGCACTCAACTCTCGTCTAACCTGTTTATTAATCAATTGTGTGGGAGGCGGAGTTGGTGCTGGCGGAGTCGGCGACATCGTGACACTCCCTCTTCGCTGCTTTGTGGGGACTTTTGGCGGCGGGGGGTCATCGTAATCCTAAAAAATATAAAAATAACAGTAAATGTTTATTTTCCTCTTTCCACGTAGAGCACACACTCTCTCTTTATGATGTCACTTCCTTTCATATCAACTTGAGTATAGGTGTGACTAGTAGCAGTCACATGCCAACTCTTCCATTAACACTACTATACACAAGGCCATTATCATAATTGATGACTATAGCAATAGTGTCTGTAATAACAATTTTTTATAATCGAAAATTCAATCAATCGTCATAAAATTATATATATATAATTATACATGTATATGAAAATGATTAATAAAGTACAATCTTAGACTCTACACACTAAAATACACACACACACACACACACACACTTCATCTCTCTCTCTCTTTCATGCAGTTTAGAAGTATAGTTTGTAGTTTCTAGGAGAGAGTTACTCCATTGACCTGTAGGACAGTAACCATTCAATCACAGTATTACTTATAAAGTGTATAGTGTATGCATGAACATGTACATAATGTATTGTGTACACGTGTTGAATTGAATGCACTCACTCTGACACTCACGGGAGCTCCAGGGGTCCCCGGTGTTCCAGTTGATTCTTGTCTCCGCTGCATTGGAGGGGTTGAGGCCCCCAGAGGGTTACCCTCGGTCTGTGCTCTTGTCCTGTGCTCAGGCACTGGGGGAGGATCAGCCTCTTGCCTAATAAGGCAATGGGAACACATACATGTACATGTACATGTATTAGTAGTAATTAAATGTACATGTACATATATGGCTATGTGTATACATACTGTACGAGTAGGTGTAAATATTGACTGTATTAATTATCACATACTCTTTCATCTCCATTATAGGCGAGCCTGATAGTCCCTGTGATTTCTCGTAAGACCCCGATCGAGGCCTAGCCCCTCTCCCTGACTCTTTTAAAGCTTCTCTCCTACGAGACGAAGAGAACTTCCGAGCTCTTGATTTGTGATCCGGAGAGTTCAGATCAAGGAAGCCGGTTGGGTCGTAGCAGGTGCCGAGGTGATCGTCTGAGTGCTGGTCGCCATATTTGGAGAGGTACTCCTTCAGGAGTTCTTCCATTCTCTCGTGGAGTTTCCTCATCGTCTCTGGGCATATCTCACTGTGTAACTGAACACCGTCTTGTAATATCTGACCCTGCGGTACAAAAAAGAGGAGAATAATAAATATAATAATATAATTTTTTTGAGTAAATCTACAGTACATGTAACTATAGTTAAGAGAAATAAGAGATTTCTTACCAAAGTTTCCATAAGCATTTTGAGTCTTGGTATTGATGTCTTGTAGTTGGGATGTTCACTGAGATATTCATGAGTGAAGAAAACCTAAAACCAAATTAATAATATCAACAATAATAATAATAATAAATACAATACTGTATCCTTCTCACATCAAAGTTGCTGACTCCTCCATTAACAGCTGCATCAAGTGTGCCGTTGAGTTTCATGGTGAGTGGGTTTGTGTTGTGTCTCTCTGTCCGGTAGCGATTGATGAGTGTCCTCAACTGATTAACATTGTCCTCTATCAACTCGGCACCATTTTCTATCGGATTCAATACAGTCTGGAGGAGAGAGAGAAAATACATAAGTAATGTGCACGTATATATGTACATGTACATGTATACATGTACTTACTACTTCAGAATCAACTACTGGAAACCACCTCAGTATACCAGGGAACTGATACTCTGTAGTATAGACTGTTCTCTCAATATGAAGTGTCTAAAAATAATATTAAAAACTTCCATTAAATACACTGCATGTATGTTGCACAATAACTCTTAGTTACTCTAACCTTGTACTCATTAGACTTGTCTTTCTTTCCTTGATGGAATGGCCTCTTCAAAAGGAAGTGTTTGACATTATTAGTGCGGCAATATCTGGTGGAGAAAAGAGAGAGAGAGAGAGAGTGATGGTGCAAAATGATTATCTCTTCTCTCTTGCTGTACAGTACCTAGTGATCTCTTCTTTGACTTGTTTTCCTTCAAATTTCTTCATAATGTTAGGATCAGGCAATGGCTCAACAGCACATGATTGTATATCTGAAGAAGAAATAATGAAGTCATAATATTTCACAAATTTAAAATGGCCACAACTCGAAAAATATTTGTCGGAATCAGCTCAAACTTGGTACACAGCATAAGTACATCAATATATATCAGAAAATGTAATAAAAAATTGGGGTAATTTCGGAGCCATTTTTTCGAAAAAACCATGGGCTATAGCCTTGGGTACTTTTCAGAATTTTGGCATTTTCTAAAAATGGCCGTAACTTGAAAAATTGAAGTCAGAATCAGCTCAAACTTGCTACACAGCATAAGTACATCAATATGTATCAGAAAATGTAATAAAAATTTGGGGTGATTTCGGAGCCATTTTTTAGAAAAAACCATGGGCTATAGCCTTGGGTAATTTTCAGGATTTTGGCGTTTTCTAAAAATGGCCATAACTCGAAAAATATTTGTCAGAATCAGCTCAAACTTGCTACACAGCATAAGTACATCAATATATATCAGAAAATTTAATAAAAATTTGGGGTGATTTTGGAGCCATTTTTTAGAAAAAACCATGGGCTTGGGTATTTTTCAAAAATTGGCCCATTTTTGAAATGGCCTAAGACTTGTTTCATTACATTGATCAGTAGACTCGATAATATCTAGTCCAGGAGGCTCAAGTTTAGTCAAAAACTAAAAATTAAGACAGAGAAAGGGAGAAAGAGTTAAAGTGTTAAAGGGAAAGGATCCATTACTTTAGCAAAAGGGAACGTTGATTGAAGACGTGCATTGAAGTCGGTCAATTTCTCAAGCTCCAATCCACGGAATATATAAATCTTATTCTATAAAGATACAGATTATTATAGATGTACATGTACATGTGACAAACTTTTAAAAACGTTGGAAAGCCTCCAAAAAATCCGACTCGAAAGAACATTGGCTCAGCACGAATTTCCTTCAATATGCACATGTAGAATCTAGAAATGGTTTCCTATTGGAGAAGAATAAAAATGGAGTCCTCCCTCCTCCTCCTCTTACATGTATTTGACTCAGTTTCTCATAATCAAAAGTAACAGACTCCAACTGGCCAGCAATCTCCTTAGACTGCTCAATACCATATTCCCACAGCTACACAAAGAAAGAGTAACACATACAGTAAATATAAAGGATAAGCATAAAATTATAATACATAATGTGTGTATAACACTTCTGTATTATACATGTACATGTACTTGCATAAGACATAAGTATAAAGGATAAAGATACAGTGAAATAGACAACAAGGAACAAATTGTGTACCTTTCCTTTGTCAAAATAACTAATGATATCATTGTACAGTGCCATCTTCCTCTCGGCCATTGACTGCCTCTCATAAGGTCCTTCAGCTTTGAGCATACTAGAACTCCACTACAAAACACACACAACAACAATAATAACAATGCATTATAATGTACATGTACATTGTACATTGCACAGGTTTAAAATCTATGTGTACATGTACATGTACAAAAGCATGAGCTTCTAAATTAAATTTAAAAGTCAGCTAAACATGTACTGTTGTACTAGCATATAATATACACAATGTACATGTAATTTTTATTGCATTTTCATGATGCTGCTGGTGTTATTCTAACCTGGAGTAGCTGAGCATGAAGGAGGAGAGTGAATGCTGCTTCTATCCAGTTGTTGCTTAGCTTGTGTAGCTCAGCAAGACGATAAATGTACCTCAGATATATCTCCTCTCTTCCAATTGACTTGTAGAAATTCTACAAAAAATAATAAAATAAAGCAACAAGAAAAGAGAGGTACATTGTAAATGTATACATGTACATGTGTACATGTACGTCCTTACCAAGAGATTAAATACAACGTGCATGTTTAAGTCCCTGTACTCATCACCAAGATGAACCTCCCTATATAAACAATGATAAAAATAATAGCATAAATTGTGTACATATAGACAAACTGTATACCTATAGTCCAGTAATCTTTTGAGAAGTTCGGCCAGTGAATTTATAAACTTCATCCCATTTGCACTTTCATTTGCCATCGAGTGTGACTTCCATTTCTCAGTCAACCTAGCGAAAGTTGAGCTCACATGATTGTCATGTGACGTGTACATGTACATGTACAATGTACGTGTGTGATGGTGACTTACATTTCCTGTAGAGAAATCCTATAACTTGGATCACCCATTCCATTACTGACATACACATCCAACTTATCAATCATCTCAATCTCCATCTACAGTAGTGAAGAGAGAAGAAGAGATGTACAAGCTTCATTGTCATGAAGAGAGTCCATTTTCCTTACTCTGTGAAAGTTCTTGTTGTACTTCCATTCGTGTTCCATCATGTCAAAGAAAACTGGTATGGTTGCCTTTCTCAGGCCTTAAGAATAATACATGTAAATGAATGGATGAATGGTCACAAGTATAAGTATTGTACATATGCACTGTATTAGGATGTTAATAATTACCTTCATGAGGTAGTAAACTGACTTTAAGGAAAGGACCAACCATTCCAGGAACAAAATTGGCTTGGAAATTACCTAAAAATTATAAAAATTAAAGAACAAGCTTTCTTCAGTATCTTCTAACTAGTAAATAATACTGTACTTGTATTACAAGTACATGTAAATGTAAATCTCTCCTTCTCTCTCTCTCTCATTTCCATCCATTACCTAACATCCTCCACTTATCAAGCATCAGTGTGTTCATTGTTAGCCTCATGTCTCCATAAAGGTCAAGTATTCGCTTTCTCTTAAGCTCTGTCATCTTCTCAAGCTGGAGTGACGGCTGGCAGCAGAAATCAACGCACAAATTAAAGAACCTTTCCCAGAGCTAGGAGAAAAAAAAGAGAGAAAGTTAAAATCAAACTCACAATATGTACAACTTACATTACAGTTGAAGAATACAGTTGAAGTTCCCTCAATATCATCCAGGTACTCTTCTACTAGTATTCTAGCAATCTGCTTCACAGCTCCAAGTATTATACTACAGAGAGTGGATGGGGTTATAAAGGTTACATTGTGTTGCTATGCTGTAGGATTGATGCACTCACTGATTGTGCAGGAGTCTAAGTGAAGACCATTCTTGAGGATGTAAAGCAGTTACTGATATTATCTCAGAGTAAGTGTAGAAGGTGGTAAGAATGAATTCCTAAGAAAAAAACACAATAAGAAGATATTCATTAAAATGATGAACCACCAGACACAGTAAAAGTACTACAAAATTATCAAATCTACTGCAACTACTATTTGGTCTGTATTTTAGTATGCTGGTCCGTATTTGTACTATAGTCCATGGATTTGGACAAATTTTTGAAGGAAAAACTTAAACTTGTGTATGCAATCGTGTTGCGAATCCTCTCCCTTTCTCACTTCAAGGTCTTCTTTAATGTCAAAGGTAGCCCTTAGCTTCCTGTAGTGATCAGGAGTCATTAGTTCAATGAATCCCATCACACAGGACACACAGAGCCCGAGCTGTGGGTGCTGGCGGTCTTTGGAAGAGTATGATAAATCATTAAAACATTCTAGAAGAGGACGAAGCATCACATTAACCAAGACACGCATGTCATTATCTCTGTCAACCTGTGAAAATAATAAAAAAGTAATTAGGCATTGAAAGGAATCCCTGAATGGTGTAGTATTAAGATTTTGCTGACAATTTATTTGCAATTGGCAAATGTATACATGTACATGTACATGTACATCAAAACATGCAAATGCAATTAAATTCATAAAATTAATACTCCAGGCTGTTAAAAATCAATCCACAATTGAGGTTATTTATTAAAAACTTTCTCCACAAAATTTTCATGCTAAACTGTATACATGTACATGTACAAGTGTAAGTCTTACTGGTGGGACACTGTGTAGGTGGACTATGACGTTTCCCATGATCTCAAGTGATTTCTCGAGATCATCTCTCTGGATCCCTTCCTCTCTCTGACTGATGTGATACTTGATGTGACGGAGTATGGCACGCAATACCACCGACCGAGACTCTGAAAAATAATGAGAGAGAGAGAGAGAGATGAATAAAAATAACTTGAAGAGGACTATTATACTGTACATGTACATTGTACATTGTACATTGTACATGCATTTTAAATCAAAAGTTTTCAAAGCAAAAGTCTTAATACAATGTAAGACTTAAATAGTACCTACAAAATTACATGCCTTTTATTGTTTTAAAGGCGCAATATCATGTACATGTAGTGGGTTGCACTGCTACGAATATGCTATGGGTATACTGTTGGTCACCTTTTTGAGTAAAGAGTTGACTGGATACAACAGCTGCCAGGAAGACATTCTTATACACCCTGAGTTTAGTCTCTTTGATAGTTAGCAAGAAATCAGCAACAATTTGACTAAAAGAGAGAGTGAAAACAAGATAAAGTAACAAAGGAACAATAAAAATACTAATAATTATTATACAATAATAGTAATAATAGTTTACCCTAGTGCCTTGACTGATATAACCTCCAAGAGCAGATCAAAGATTTGTGGAAAGAACTGCATAGCTTGAGCTTGCTGTGAACATAAAACAAACAAATATCGATTCCTTTAACCTCTCTTACCACCTTGTACTGTAGATGTACATGTACAACTTATAACCATCACTCCCTCCTTACATTAATCTAACTCTCTCCCTCTAGTAGAATGTACTGTACATGTACATGTACATGTATGTACATATTTTACATGTACATGTACATGTACATGTATATGTATTATACTCACAGCTTTAGGTGCCACTAGTTCCCCCTCAGGGCATTCCTTAGCCATCATGTTACAAGTGACTCTCAATAACTCAATGAGGCTGTGCATGAACTGCTCATTACCCTTACCATGAGTTGTCCTACAAAATAAACATACCAATAATACAGTACTTGATGATTACACATGTACATTATAGTAATAATAGAAGGAAATGACAGTCAGTGCAAGCATGAATATAATACTGGAGTGTGGATTATGTACATGTACATGTACATGTACTTACTGGTCATAAAGATATCTTGACCTCATTATAAACTTAAACAGAAACTCAGCAGCCTATTAAAGGAGTGAATGAACATAATACATGCATATGCCCATTATTCTCCTGTACCTTCATTGTCTTGTTAATGATTTGAATTTCAACCTTTCTCTTGGAATTATCCATTAACATAACCTGCTCAAATATGTACTTCATCTTCTTCACAAGAAAACTGGAAACCAGGAGAGAAAGGAGAAAGATCAGAGAATGTAAATGTATATGTACTTTATTCTTATCATTATTTCTTACGTGTGTATCGACGTGACGTTGAAATGCTTCTCGCAATAGCTGTCCAAAACCGGACGAAAGTTCTCGTACTTTTCAACAACGAGGAGGCCAATGATGAGGATAAGTGCCTCAAAGACTGGGTCACCATACTTCTCACCTTTCTCCTCAATGATGGCAAACAAAGCATTAAAAGTGTCCACTAAAAACTGAGAGAAAGAGAGAGAGAGAGAGAGAGAGAGAGAATAAATAAAACAGATATGTAATAAAACTTTTAAAAGCAGAGAAAGGTCACTTTACCTTAACAATCTCATTTCCTCCAACATTCTCAATGCTCTTCAAAATCTCAGGCAGTCTATCCTGGTAAGCATGCCAGTGTAGTAGCCTATGCAGATCAGCTGTGGAGGGTTCAAGGATCATATGATAGTCATGTGATATAGTTTCTTACCATTCTGGGTTAGTTTGGTGGAGCATATGTGAGTGATGACACTGAATGAGTCCCTCAAGTGAAGAAACTCTTGAGGACACGAGAGGGAGCCAGTCGCAACGTCTGATAGCTTTGCTAGTCTGTGCGGGTGCTTAGCCAAGTCTTTATACTACAAGGAAAAGGAAATATCGACCTGTTGCAACATGTACAGTGTACATGCATTAATTATTATGAAAAAGACCATGACAAAATGAGACAAAATACATGTGTACATGTACAAGCACCTGTGCAATCATGCCTTTGTTGTACATGTAACTCAAAAAATTTTGGCTCACACTTTCAGCACATACAGTACAGCTAGTATAAAGCTAGAAATGTACATGTACATGTACATATGTATGTTCACATCATGTAGTAAAAATTGTTTGAAGTCAATTCCTTACATTGTACACATAGAGCTCATGCTGTCCGTCAGCTATTGTGGTATCGTCATCTTTCATGAGGCGAAGGTGGGACATTGCAAATGGCTCTGACTTGCTCAACTTGCTGGCTGCAAATAGAAAAAAAGGAGTAAAAATGAATAATAATAATAATTTTTTTCTTTATTCTTACAGATAATAGTCGACTTGTGATAAAAACTAAAACGAACGCGCGACTTCCTCATGGACTCAGGTGGAATCTCAATCTATCAATGATCAACAACGCGTTAGATTAACAGGCAAAGGAATGAGATCAAATATCAGTCATGCATTAAATAAAATCAAAATTTCCGTACCTTGAGCGTCTCGTTAAAAATGGGAGTGGCCAAATGATAATGAACGAGTGACGTGTAAATAGAAACATTTTCCTCTCCGATACCAGGATTGATGCATTTCTAAATAAAGGGACACCATGTACATGTGCATAATACACATGCTTACAAAGGGAAGTGGGTTGTCATCGTCTCCAAGTACTTCAACTGCCACCTCAACGTTCTTATCAGCTCTCTTGCTACCTTTACTGAAGACTCCCTGTTGTAGAGTGAGGTACACATCATGACGATCATCATCTGGAGATAAGGAGAAGAGAGAAGAGAAATAATAGGAGGGAATTCACTAGTAAAGATTCTGACCAATTTATATACCCACGTACATGTACATGTACATGTACATGTACATGTAGATGCATGTACTGTATATGTATGTCTGAACTCACAAGGTCTAATGATTTCGGCAAAACTAAGTTTCTTGACAATAGCAGTAAACCTCTTGAATAACAAAGGATTGTCTTCTTTGACCTGTTGACAATGAAACAGAATGAGCTGATACACATAACAAATATCACATGACACTCAAGAACTGCAGTAGTACAACACAACCAGGCAAAAGATGATTACACTTAAATACACAGCCAAGAGTACTACTACTGTACATTTGTATATACATGTACATGTACATGTACATGTAGTGTCCATGCAGTACATTTAGTAGTATATAGTGAAGTAGTATAGTGTACACATTATACCAAGAGTATTATGTACTCTTGATTGTACTAAATGTACATGCATCATTTCTCTCTCCCACTGTTTACCTTTGATAGTGCTCCTCTTAATACTCTAACTCCAACAAAAACACCTACAAAGGAACAAGAAACAGTGACAGTCCTACCACTCCCTCTGGTGTATGGGGGGCATACCAGTTCCTTTATCCGTTGCGTGATAGACTCCCTGCTTCTTGACAACGTTCTCTAAAAGACGATGATATTCTGCAGGGGGACATCTAAAGAGAAAGACATAATGTAGTAAGTACAAGTACTGTACATTTGTAAAATAAACACATGCCCGATTACAATTAATGTAACTGAGGTTAAGTGGTTACACAGACTTACTGGAAGATGTCAATCTGAGGTTCCTGTTCCTCCAGGATTGGCTCCTTTGTGTTGAGTAGCTCATGTATGGGGAACACTCCAGCACCGTGAGGCTTCCTTAGTGGAGCTGAAGTTTTGCGACCATCCAACTCATTACCTATACATTGTACATGAAAATGAGTAGTACGTAGTACATGTACATGTACTGTACGTGTGCATTATGTTGTATTGCCTTACCAACTCTGATTACTTGACAGGCAAGATAAAGGTCCTTGTTCTGTAAATCTGAATTATCCAAATCCTAAAATGAGTCCAATAATCCACAAACACACACAGAGAGAGCAATACACATACATGTACATTAAGTACTGTACATTCTTATTTAACACATCAACAGTGTCTTATGGTAGATCAATGTACATGTACTGTATGTAGATGTACATGTATGCATGGTATAGTGGCTTACAGTGAAGACTGCAAAGCACTGTCCAATCTTATCAGAATTCTTAGGTAGACACTGGTGGGACAAACAAATCATATAACGCTCACTAGAAAAATATAAAAAATATTGTAAAAGCAAAAAAGGAAGTGTGAACCAACAGAACCATGTCCTCTCTCTCCCCCTCACTATTGACACAAGTACAACTGTATACAGTCAGTCTCCTGTACCTGAGGATCTTATTCAATTTTCCATCATAAAGGAAAAAGAGGAGGTCACATGGCTCATTGACAGGGAGGGCAAGGGCTGAGAATTTAATGAACAAATGATGCTCCTCTTTCTTTGGGGCTGTAGACACAGCAACGGCACGGGAGACTTTCTACAAGAGGAAGAGGATTAGTGACAGTAACAAGAAAATTATAATAATTATTCATGACAATCCAATTCTTACCACTTGTCCTGGTAAGGAAGCAGTTGCAGGAGTTGACTCAGAATTTTGCTGAGATATGCTCCTCATCTGAAAAATACACAAAAATTCAGTAACAACAACAACAACAACAACAACAATAATAATGATAATAGTAAATGTATTTCTTGCTTTCCCTTACTGATTTGAAGAGTTTCATGACACCAGAGGTCTTAGGATTAACCACTTCACCGTTCTCTTCCCTAGCAATCATGTCAAGGCCAAGAAACTTGTTACCATAGTCTATCTTTTGGGCAACTCTTTGCTTTAACTCACGCAACTCATCCTGGAGAGAGAGAGAGAGAGAAAGAAAGAGAGAGAGAGAGGAGGGAAGAAAAGTGAGAGATGTACACGTACATGTATGTAGTAATATGTCACAATAATTTCTTTCTCCCCTACCCTGGGGAGAGTTTTTGACATTATTTGTCTCCTTCTTTCCAAGAGCTCCTTCAGTAAATGCTTCAGCTCCTCAAACTGCTGACGCTTTCCATCCTAAAATAATAATTAACAGCTTGTATAATCCTCCACACCATCGACTCATTTGTTTATTTAACATTGGTAATTTGGCAACAACAAGTATAAACATAAAAGATTGATTAGAAAAATTAAGTGACAAAGGGATGTACATGTACATGTATATGTACATGTACTTACGGCATAAAGCTTCTTCCAGCTGCCACACCATTCTCTGAGAACATCAGATACTTCCTGTACCATTGGATCCTCTTTGGATCGTATTATCTCAGCAGGACTATAACAAAGATATCACACAGACTAGTTGGTTGTAACAAGGGTTGACTATGTCTTACCCTGGATTGATGACATTATAGTCTTTAAGGTGAACATATGAGGCTGGAAACACTCCCTGAGATAAGAGAGAGAGAGAGAGAGAGAGTGAGAGTGAGTGAGAAAAGGTCAAAAATAGAAAAGTCAATCAAAGCCTCAAGTAATCACCACACATCCCAGCTGGTCATCATGGTTAACCATTATAACGACCAGCTGTACATAAGAAAAAGGAAAATGTAAATGTACATGTACATGTACATGTACATGTACATGTCACACACACAGTTACATGTAAGTTACAGGTATAACAAAATGTTGATAAAAGCAATAAATTGAAACTAAATATACACATAATGAGCATGATACTTGGAATAAGAGACGGAGAGAGAGAGAGGGGGGGGATAAGGAATATGTACAGTACATGTACATGTACATACAGTGAAAAGAGTAATTAAAATGTAACACCAAACATTATCTTACTACAGTACATGTGCAGCACATGTACATGTACATGTATACACATGTACTGTACATGCATGATTGCAGTGTCTTAAGTGACAGTAGTTCAACTGTCAGTTATCAGATTATCCTGTTCCCAAAAGTACCACAGTATAACTGAGCTCATCCAATAGATACTCACAATAACTGACTTTTAATCAATTTTAGAAGATCATCTCTTATCATGTCTCTCTCTCTCCTCCCCTCAATTTTATATCTGAAACTTCTGCCCCCCTCTCTCTCCCTCCCCCCTCTCTCCCTCCCCCCTCTCTCCCTTCCCCCCCTCTCTCCCTCCCTCTCATACATTGTACCTTAAGTGACTTGTCTCTGATAAAAAACCCTCTGTACCAACCTACAAGATAACAGATACAATAAATACATGTAAAATAAAGTTTTTAGAAAGAGATCTATAAAGTATAACTATAAATACATGAATTATTAAACTGCATTGCACAGTTAGTAAACTTTAAAGCAATAATTATTTTCGCCATCAGATTATAAAGTACGTGTACATAATGAAGTTGTGAACATCAACATGCTATAGTATTTTGTGCACGTACACATTCAATCATAATTTCTCTCTCTTTCTTTCCTTCTTCCTCCCTCCCTATCTACATGTTGTATCTTCTTTCTCTTTCCTTTATACGTGTACATGTACATGTACATACATACAGGTTCTTGAGACATGTACATGTACATCATAATACAATTACACTGTCACTCAATGTAGATGTAGGAGAAGGTTATAGTTAAATAATAATGCCCAAATTAACAATAATGATACAAACACTATCACAACAATAATAATAACATTATTGCTGCTGTAATGATATTCATTGATCAAATACACATAGTAATTACACAAGGAATAGGATTACAGCACCTGCTGCAGAGTTGGTAATTGGATTTTAAAACAATTATCAATTTACTAACCAGAGTTCTCCTCCAGTATTTGAACGACGTCGCCAAACTGAAGCTTCAAGTAAGGAGAATTCGGATCAGATTGATCAGGGATGAAATCATAGATAGCTAAAGAAGAGACAAAGAAAGTGAAAAGGAATAAATTAGAAAGAAAAAAATAAAGGATTTGTGAGTGTGTGTGTGTGTGTGAGAGAGAGAGAGAGAGAGAGAGAGAGAGAGAAGAGAAAATGAGATATCCTCTACCAAAAGTTTAGCCAAAACTATCATACATTAGGTTAGCCAAACCATCAAACATTATTGCTACAACAAGTTACAACTAATTACAAAGCATAAGCTAAGCATTGCCCTCATTACTGAAATACCACTGGATACAAAACACATGCACACGTGTACATGAGTACAATAAACTCCCTCCCTCTGCTTGATGACATGGAAGAATGAGGAACAAAAAGATAAAAGTACATTAAGCTTTGTACATGCATCTTTAAAAGCAAGTACATGTACATGTACATGCATCTTAAAAAAGTACATGTACATTGTACATGTATTTATGTACATGTACATGTACAGTTATATGTAAAATGCATGGAGAATACAACATGTATTGCACCTTTTTAGTTTAAAGCAAAGCTATTATTATTAAAACATACACACAAGTTTAAATAAAAATGGATTTGCGTTCAGATGTAGCCGTATACATGTAAAATGGCGTCATGTGAATAACACAGATCATCGCTCGACTTTCTGATTCAACACTTTTTGAAATTGATAAAACCTCTCTCTCTCTCCCTCTCAAGTTAAAACAGTTTACAATGTGAAAGGTAAACATTCCCTTGTGCCGACTAATACAGAAACACACAACAAAGAGAGAGAAAGGGGGAGAGAGAGAGAGAGAGAGAGAGGGAGGGAGAGATTAAATGGGGTGAGACAAATTGGACGAGTGACAACACAAAATCAAAGCTATACTAAGCTGGACTGCTGGTATGTGCACGCAATAAAGGTTAGCTTTGTTCCTTTCTATATGTCCATGCATCGTGTAACACGAGCAGGAGAAGTATATAAGGAGAGGTCAGCTTACCCACACCACATTTAGCGTTCCTGGTAGGGACCCAACGGGAGAAACCATCAGAAGACTCCATTGGTCAGAGACTGGCCGCCAATGGAGGATCTGGAGGAATGTAAGGACGAGAGTGAGTGGAGAAAGAAGAGACAGATGTAGACTCAACTTTCTAGCTCCGACCAGAACACAATGTCAATCAAGAGGCCACGCCTATAGGTGGAGCTAAGCGGGCAGTTAATTAAAATTCATAGATGCCAATTATGCTTAATTACGTAAAGCCCCGCCCTGCTAGCTGAATGAGCTCAATTATGTCAACTTGCTGCACAAGATATACAAGAATTTGCATTTTACTAATAACGCAATAAGAAAGCAAGCCTCAAAGCAGAACAAATTGCAGCTAGTTTGGACGTGGAATTCAGTAATAATAATTATTAAGAAAATCAGTAAAATAACAACTTGTTTTTACTGACAAACAAACATAATGACACATGAAAATAAATCTCTCTTGCTAACTATAATAATGACAATAATAAGTGTTCAAATAAACAACAACAAAGAGCTTAAACAAACAAAAAAAACACAAACAAAAAGGTATGCATTAAAAGAGTATTACAAAAGAGTAATGGAAACAAGGAAGGAGTTAAATGGGGGAAGAGATTTAAATAATAATTATTATTATTACTACTAATAATGGAAATGAAAGAAAAAGGAACAGAGAAGAATAGTTTCATAATAATAATAATAATAATAATAACAATAATAATAATAATGTGCTTTTTACGTTAAATCTTCCTGATGAATCAACATTACATTTAAAATTATAACTGGTGATCAAAAATAAGACAATTTGTTAAATAATACCTCTATTTTATTATCTGTAATTAATAATAATAATAATAATAATAATAATAATAATAATAATAATAATAATAATAATAATAATAATAATTATAATTATCAATATATTATTATTTATTTTATTTAACTATGGTTTATTGTTCCTTATAACGGATTCTGCGTCTCATTTGGAAAATGAGTATGAGAAAAGAGAACACAGGAAAAAGAGAAAGAAAGTACTTATCTTCCTTGAGTACATGCACATATCACACACACACACACACACATACAAACATGTAACATACAGTCAGTTCAACACACAGAGAGAGTGAAAAAAAAACAGCAAACAAGCCAGAGTCAGCATGTACTGTAACTACTAGTCTATAGTAACCCGGTTACTAAAGGAAGAGAAAGATAGAGAAAGATTGGATGATTTGAAATAATAATAGATGCACATTCCAAATACAGTACATGTACATGTAAATACATGCATATACATGTACATGTACACATGTAGGTGCATTGAAAAAGGCTTACATTTACATTGTAAAAAAAGACAAATAAAAAATACATATCGAGCTACATGTACATGTACACATGCACACCAAAATGTACACAAAAAGGTAATAATTAAAGTCACTAGCTTACAAATTTAGAAAAAGTAGCAACAAGAAGAGGAGGCACTAAGTACTGCCCCCTCCTCTCTCTCCCCCTCATTGAGCAGTGGCAGGAGTAGGCTCAATGTCATTAGTACTGTTGCTAGTACTTGTAGCAATGGCCGTAGTGTTCTTGTGACTAGTTGAAGTACAGCCTCCATCGCTACCGGAAGTAGTTGAGCTATTATCGTCTGAATCATGAATCACATCAATCACCAGACTCTCGTCAAGCTCTTCGGTTGGCCCCGCCCCATTTCCGGTTGCAGCAACGGTTGCTGTGGTAACCGGGTTGGCTTTCGAAAAGGAGGCCCCGTTGGCATTAGTTGTTGAGGTGGGGGCAGCGGAGTTTGAGACAGAGAGAGACGAAGACATCATCGAGTTTATGGAAGAGGGTGTGGTGGCGTTTGCTAGAGCCGTGACGACTGGTGGGAGGAGCTTCCCACCGGCCCCTAGGGCAGCGAGACGAGTGAGTAGAATAGTCTGTGTTCTTTGAAGCTCAGAGATAAGTTGAGTCTCTTCATTCTCCTTTGTCTTTAAGGCCTATAGACGATACAAGACAGAAAGTGAATGAAATAATGAATGGCTGCATAGAGACAATATAGAGCCATTGTGGGCCATCATTTACAAAAGGGCTGTCATTATATTAAATTTAAATGATAATCAGTTTTGTCAATCTTTAGTTTACTGGCCCTTGAATGAAGGAGTACATAGTGTGAGGAGCAAATTCCAACTGAGGAATGTAATCAATATGTCACCATTACACACACAACACACTGAATTAATAATAATAATAATAATAATAATAATAATCTCGTCTTTGTGCTTCTTTTTGTTTTTGTTTCTTCTCTTCTTCTCTTCTTTTCGTTTTTGTAATTATGGGTTTCTTCCCCTTTTCTCTCATCTTGTCTCTCTCTCCCTCTTAATTCTAATTTTCGTTATAATAATAATAATAATAATAATAATAATAATAATAATAATAATAATAATAATAATAATAATAATAGCCACGAGATATGAAAAAACTAATAATAGCAATAGTGGGAGCATTATGCAAGCAAATGTGATGATTATAAACAAACTTGTACTCCAAGATAAAGAACATACATGTACATGTATGCATGTATACATACAATGTATATGTGTACCAGAAAAAATTATTAAAAATGGAGGATTCTTTCCTAGTCACTTTTGGCAAAATTTGGCTCGAGACCATGTACTATAGTACAGGGACTTTGGCCCGATTTTTGAGTAACTTTAAAAATTCGTAAAAAAATCCAATTTTGATCAGAATGAGCTCAAATTTAAAATATAGCATAAGAACGTGTATATGTATCAGGAAAAATTATAAAAATGAAAAACTTTCTTCTTTTCATTTTTGGTAAAATTTGGCCCAAATCACTGTACTATATAGTACAGGGACTTTAGCTCAATTTTGGAGTAACTTTAAAAATTCATAAAAAATCCAAATTTTATCGGAATTAGCTCAAATTTGCTACACAACATAAGACCATGTATATGTATCAGAAAAAAAATATAAAAATGGAGAATTCTCTCCTAGTCATTTTTGGCAAAATTTGGCCCAAATCACTGTACTATAGTACAGGGACTTTAGCTCAATTTTGGAGTAACTTTTAAAATTCATAAAAAATCTAATTTTGATCGGAATCAGCTCAAACTTACTACACAACATAAAAACATGTATACGTATCAGAAAAAATTATAAAAATGGAGAATTCTCTCTTAGTCATTCTTGGCAAAATTTGGGTAAAGACCCTGTACTACAAACAAGAACCTGCATGAGCACTATACCAAAATCCAGTGGGAATTAAAACCTGACAAGCAACAATAAAACTAAATTGTGTTTTGATTGATAGGCCATAAAAGGAAACAAGAATAACACAAAGGGTCATCAGTTACTCACTTACACGCGCATATATACACAAAAAGTTGTTAAAATAAACTCATACATGTAAGTAAAGGAATAGAAAAACAAGTGATAAACAAGTAGCTACTGTAGGCAATCCACTTTCTCACACTACATGTAGTCCTTCTTACAAATATTTGGCTGGAATTCAGGTACTAAAAGTCCTATGGCACTACACATGTATACAGACTCACTTCAATGTATTTCCTTGCACTTTGAAGCAATGCCAAAGTTGTGAGCTTATCTGGAAAGGGAACATGCTGCCTCAAGACTTCAAGGCAGTCACGCAACTGAGCACGTCTAAAGAATAAAAAAAAAAAATGACAATAATAGCTTATAATACATGTAATGTACATGCAAGTTTGTGTGTGCATGTGTAAATTGAAATTAGAAATCCTAATAGGCCTCCAATCCACTTGCTATGGTGTATAATTCCCTACTTTTGGGATTATCCATAAAAACTAAACAGTAACTCACACGACTGCTTTTGGTTTACTAAATACACAATGCGCATTCATTACATAACAGACCGTGCGTGTGTACACAATTGTGTCTAGCAGTTAGGACATACAACTCTAGCTTAACAAAAATAAGCTTTAGTATTAAAGTATACACGTACACATGGACTTGTTTGTGAGTTTGTAAGAGAACATGTGTCATATTAGAAGTTACTGGAAGCCATCGCAAATAAAGTTAAGTGGTCAAGTTAGTGGTTAAAGGGAGTCAGTATTATCAATAATAATAACTAATAGGGTCAATGAAAGTGTTAAAGAAACATAACAAAGGGGCTAGGAACCACTGTTAATGGAGGGAAATAAATATTAACAACTGAAAAAAGGCTTTAATGGACAAAAGGAAGATAGAGAAAATAACACAAAGTCCCTGTATGCATAATGTACCTGTACATGTTCAGTTGCAATTAAATATACCAATTACTCTTTATCCAAAATCCAACAACTAAATTAGATGCTACTGTACATTAAAATGAAAAAAGGCAACATCTTTAAATAGATAAACTTCTTTGCAGGCTCAAAGCAAGCCAGTGCATTATACATAGCATAAACATTATATCCTCTCAATGATGGATAAAGACAATGACATTGAATCATAAACAAGCCATTCCATCCTATAATCAATGTATTCTTAAGAAGAGAGGATAATGATAATAATTAACTTTATAAGTACAATCAGATAAATTGGGAACGAAGCCAAAAATCATATATGCACTATAGTAGATGTACACATCTAAATAACACACACAATTAATGACATATCAGCAGTATACGTGTGCAAGTATAATGATGACACATGTCCCCCCATGTGACAATGATATGACAATTTATTGTATTCACGACATGAGAACAATTCTGAGAACAAAAACAACTTAGGGTCATTCTGCCATGATTCCAATTAATGCCCTCACGACAACTGTAGAAACTCCCACTAACTTAATTAGAACAACACATTTAGATGCATGCACATACATACATGTAAATGGATATAAGTCATATAACACATGTTACAAGAATAGCACATGTATGGGAATGGTAATCAAGCCATGTACATGTAGAGAGACTGCATGATGTTTGTAGAATATCGAATATCAAGGGGACATGTGTACAATGCTGTATGTGGTTAGACCAGATATCATAAGAGTCAGCTTAGTGTATACATACATGTACATGTACATGAGTGAGTTATTTGAGATTACATGTCTTTATGTTTGTATGGTGTAATGGCTAGTATTTAAAAAGTCTATAAAAATACATGTATACGCATAAGAAGTGGGTTCATAAGGATCTGTATGATGTTATTACAGATCCAGTTCATGTTGCTACCATTAAGCAAACAGCTGATCCAACAACACAGACAATGTCACCAATAAACCACAAAGCAAGCCAAAGAGGAAACAGCAGATCAGACCAGAAACAGATTGTGCTCAGCTGTGTGTGGTATATGTAACATCTTCTCTTAAATAAGGTGTGTGGGTGTGTGTGTGTGTGTGTGAGTGTGTGTCTGTGTCTGTGTGTGAATGGTAAATGAAAGAAGGTAGAGTAGAACATACATGTACATGTATGCTAATTGAGAGTTTGAGGTTTGTGTATATACACAAATTATATTTCTCATTAAAAACCTCAGACAGTTTTCATAATGATTAAAACACAAGTACATGTTCACAAGATTATGACCCCAAGGTGATAAGAAAAGGAAAAATAGGCCAATAAAGCTATTAAAAGTCTCTCTTTACATGCCCTGATATACACCCATTACAAGGGCAATATAAGACAGAAGATTCACACCCCATTGGGACTGGATACAGTGGGTGTACACCTGTAATGCCCACCTGGTCCCATAGGAGGTAAAGTGAATAATAGCAGCATATACCTATACCCAGTAACACCCCATATAACAAGAAAAGGAGATTCATAGGCCACCTATGGGCAAAATGAGGAATGCCATGCACCAATATCATTTTACAATAGACTATCAGATACTGTTATTCATAGATTTGAAGTGCCTCACACAAGTACACACACACACACAAGTACATATACATAATGCACACACAGGAGAGAGGTGAGTATTAATAGTGATAGAGAGTAGGGGAGGGACATGGATCACAGCTGGCATGTAAACACAAGAGAGGCCAAAGGGCATAAAGAACAGAGACACTTAGCATAGTACAATAGACACTAAGTGCCTCTATAAGCTGTTGGTACTATAAGATGAGTACCAAATAGAGGAGAGAGAAGTGGTATAATATTACAGGCTATAACTTTCCACCATATACATGTAAGTACATTACAAGCATGCAAGGAAGTCCATGTATAGTAATATGGTAAGTCACATGTGTGATGAGTGCATGTGTGCAGCACATGTTTCAAAACCGGCTCATTTGGAAAACATTCTGTAAGAGAAATGCCAAATTAGACTTTGAATGTATTGGAAAAAGGAAGAAACTATGTTCCTTGGATATGTAAACGTACAATAAAAGTTTATACGTACAATAAAAGTTTATACATACAATAAAAGTTTATACAATGTGTGTATAGAAAGAGAGAGAGAGAGAGAGAGAGAGCTCACCTATTCTTTTCCAAGAGATTATGAGTTGTTCGACTATAAAAAAGAAGACGAGAAACAAACATGAATTATTAATACAACTACAAAATAATCTCTTTCTCTACAAAATGTATCAAATACATGTACTTAAAGCAGACAATATGTGACCAGGTGTCCATTACACATACATGCACACACACACTACAAATGATAACTGAAGCAGGTTCACTGACGACAAGACATAAAACAAATCATAATCATTCTGTAGTAGCTTTATGTATACAAGAAAGAGCTGATAATCTCATGACTGTACTGATATTACTACTTGTGTGTGCTAGTGTTTTTAAAAGGTTAGGGAAAGAAGCTAAGGAATGTGCTTAGTGAAGCAGATATCAGAATTAGCAGGTAATACAAAGCTGAGTTAGAAACATGAGCCAGCAGAAAGAGAGAATGCAAATGCATGCTTATAACATAGTAACACAGGGTCTGCTTAATAGCTAGAGAGAGTGAGAGAGTATATGCCCTAAAAACCCACAAGCTAGTACAATAAATACGCGTGATTAGTTCCTAGTATTACATGGACATAATGAGTAAAAGGGCATATACACATGTACTTATACATGTACATGTATGTGAGCAATAAACCACCCAAGATTGAGATAGCCCTACACAAACCCCAATGCCCAATCAAGATGCCTTTAGTCAGAGCCCACACAAAACTCCTTGACAATATAAATACTTGGGGTTACATCACAGAGGCCTTGTATGTCTTCTGATACATGAACTCCACTTAGCTTAAAGAGGAATTGAGCATACAAGGCACTGATATGCTTTCCTCTACACCAACTTGTGGTCACGTTTGGTTACAAGCTTAGTCAGATAAATGAACACAAACAGAGAGAGTTGGTAAAGAGAAAGGAAATAAAGAAAGAGAAGGTGAGAGGGAGGGAGGAGAGAGAAACAGAATAAGAGAGAGGGTGTGTGTGTGTATATATAAATGTGATAGATAGTAAGCAGAAGAGGTTGCTATACACTGGGAGACAATGACTAGGGAAAGGCAAGGAAGGAAGGAAGGACAATAATTTTGTCTAAAGTGAAAGAACATGCAATTGAAAGTATGATAAAACCTCTCTCCCTTTTTCCCTGATTAAACTGACACAGGAATAACAATCAAGAACAGAAGACCTACAGAGGCTACACATGTACACCTCTTCTGCCAGTACCTGTATGGCGAGGGTTTCTTCATCCTGTGTCTCGTGTTTCTTTTGCGTTGGCCCGAGGTCTGAACGTCAACTTCAGCGCCAGTTTCAGAAGCTGAAAGAAACAAAGAAAGAGGAGAGTGGATATACATGTATAAAGAGAGAAATGTTTGACATGCTAACAAGTAATCAGCATCAAAGGTGACAATTGGCTTTAACACGTCTTAATATTAGGCCCAGAAATCAAACAACGTTTCAACCACAAAGATACAAAAACTTGCACAAACACTCAAGCAATGAATGCTCAAATCCTTTACCTCCATTCTCTTCAAGAAACTGTGCTGCTTGAATCAGAGCCTCCAATCCAGCTTCAGACATCCTAAAAACAGGGTGAAAAGTGAAAAGATAAATTCTCACTCATTACAAGACTTGGGGCACTTAGTAGATGCAGCCAGTAACTACATGTGGTGGTAGTGGTACATGTGAGAAGAAGTGATAAAGCAAGCAGTTATCGACTCTCCTTCTCTCCCGGCGGGTCCACGTGTGTGCCTTACCCGGGCCCTTTCCTCCCGACCGCTTGCTCTGAAATGAAAATATGGAGTAGGGGAAGCAAGCAGGGTCAAGGGGGCTCGCTAGAGAGGGTTCTAGATTCCTGTGATCTTTGGAATGGGTCTCTCTTTCTTTCTATCTCTTTCTTTTCGAAAGAGATAGCCACGTGGGGAGCGCTAATGTAAACAACCCTCGTGGCATTCTATGGGCACAGCCTACGCTGGACAAGAGGGGCCGAAGGAGAAGAGGGTTAGCTTGTAGGACTGGACTCACTTTTCTGGCTCTTGCCTTCCTTCTGAAGTGGACGAGGATGAAGAAGGAAAGTTGAGATGAGTTGCCGTGGGCCCGTTGCCAAGGGAAGCGGCCGCCGTTTTTGAGTCGGGGTGAAACTGTTTCTAAAAACAAGAATAACTCGGTCTCTCGAGGAGATTTTCCGGTTGTGGAAGTCGCCTTTGGGTCTTAGAGTCCTCTGGGACGAAACAAGACCAGGATATGGAGGTGTTTTTGACTCTTTCACACAGAGACAACGCCAGCAAAAACGACAGTACTGATACACGCTGCTGTGGCACTCTGGCACGCCCGCTGGCCCTGTCGAGAACACGTGGGCTCCTCTGACGAGTTATGACGCTGCTGTAGGAAAATAAGAAGGTGTGGCTACTATAGGGGTAATCCCTCAGGCTGTTAGTTCATTATTAGCTCCTCCTTGAGAAAGAATGGCTAAAAGAGATAGGTGGAGTTCAGAGAAGCTTCCTATCAAAACAAAAAAGCAAAAAATAAGCAAGGTAGCTCATTAATTTCCAATGCATTTAGTCTTTTTTTTCTCAGGAAGCTCCTCTACCTGTTGACAGTTTTTCTCCAGAACCGAACCTTGATTGCTTACCCGATACCCTCACTCTTTACATTATGGGCAAACTCGATATCGTATCACTCGTACGACTTGCTAGAACTTGCAAACGTTTTTATCACTTGCATCGAGAGGAATGTCTTTGGACAAACGTTGACATGACGACCCTACCTCAGATTGACGTGAGAAAAATGAAGAAAATAATAGAAAATTACGTATCGCCTAAACTACAGATAATTAGCATTCAGTCAAACTTTCGACTGAATCGGGCGAAGAAGCCAAAGATTGACGGCAACGTTTTGGACTTCCTCTTCAAAAGGTGTCCGAGCATAAAATATTTGCGACTGTTGAACTGCGACTTAAGCGAAGTGCTTAAAACCTCATTGAGCGAAGCAGAGCCTAACAAAGAATCCTCAATGGAGCTGCTAAATTGCAGTTCGTTGGAGAGGGTCTCGTTACTGAATTGCAATACACCACTTTTGTGGCTTTCAGGTGCCAGTTGGCCAATTTTAAGACACCTTTCACTAGCCCACTCTGTAATGACGTCTCACCTTGACGTCCAAAGCATATTTGAGACAAAAGATTGGCAAGGGACACTAAAGAGCCTAGACCTAACAGGATGCTATAGGATTAAATCATTTGGTGACATTAAAGTGGATTTATCGATTGAGATACTCAATTTGTCCGAAACAAACATCACCGATAGTTTATTTGAGTCTTTGCCAAGGTTTCCTTGCTTGAGGGAACTTTATTTAAGGAAATGTTCTGGAATAACAAATAGTGGTATTTTAAAGATCCCCCTCCTTAGTCTTGACCTTCAAATTGTTGATTTTACTGGAAATGATAAACTTTCTCTATTAACTGTTGAACAGTTGCGTAATGATATGCCAGACACAGAATTTAAGTATTAAATTTTTAAAATTATTTTATAATAAATACTATATTATTGGCTATAATGAGACAAAAGTTAACCAATAAAGAGCAAATTGTATAGCGTCATTAGTCAAGCAAACTAACTGATGTGTGTTTAATATTTTTAATTTAGTTAGTAGTCCACAAGCATGATGATCAGCATTCCAACGTGATATGTAATAGTTTGATGCATGACTAGCTCTTCCTCTCTAGTCTTGCTGTACTATATACTGATCTCTTTAATTATAAAAACTCTGGAGTATGTAATTCTATCTACATCACAACTCATGAAATCACACTTACTCTCACTTATCATCAACTATTAGAAAAAATTTAGAGCTACAACAAATTTTAGCAAAATATTAAAGTCAATGTATTAGCAAGCATACACATAACTACATGCCACAGTGTCACATCCATAGCTTTTTAAATAGCACCAGCAATCACTAGCAAGACACTAAAGAGAATGAGGAAGAGAGACGGAAGCATCAAAGCAGATGAAGAAGGTGGGCTTGAAGTGCAGCCAGCACTGTCAGGAATCTCAAGTGAGTTTAGCATGTCATCTGCATCTTCAGCTAAAATAAGAATAAAGATAAAGATAATAATTATTATCAAGAGTAGGTCACCAATTATTATTGTTATTATGTTTAATAGACTAATTGATGCTTACTTGATCCTCCAACAGTGCGAACAGTAGCACTAACGCAGCCAGTATTACCACTAGAATCAGTAGTCATCTCTTGGTCTAATATCAATACGTCACTTGGAGATGCGGTTCTTGCATTTCTTGTAAGCTGAGTAGCAAAGGTAGTCCTAAATGATTAATTAAAATGAAGCATACATACAGAGAAATATACTTCTTACCTGTCAAAGTTTGCATCATAAGAAAACATAATGGTCCTGTTACGAGAAGAGAAGACAATTTCTGTAATGGGGCCACAGTCAAAGAGAGGGCCAGCAGTAGAGTGAAGTCCGATTGAGCGACCAATAACTACACAATGAGAGAAAGTCATACCCAAAATCAAATAAAATTTAAAGAATGAGCATGAGAGGCAAATATGACATGTTTTAATTAATAGTGCATGTATTTATAATTAATTTTGGTCTCACTTGAGTAGTTAGCAGGTCCCCACAAGTGAAGATTATTATCTACATACGTGTACGTAGGGCGAGTGGGAGATGCAGCACTGATGCTCAACTTTGGATGCTTGCCACTTAGATCACCGCTCTCACAACGGAGAGGAGCAAAAGGCGTACACTCTGTGCTATAATTGTTGTTTAAGTCAACATTGAATGGATTGAAGTGTCCCCCAATGGCATCAACACATCTCACTCCTTCCTGTGGAGGCCTCTCATGGATGTGCCATTTATGTCCAGAGGTCTATTAAAAGATAAAAACATCAAAATTACAGGCACCAAAGTATTATATCGATAAGCAATATATGTCTACATATAAGACACTGACTTGTGCCGTTGAGGGATTGGTATACCATATGTCCACCATTATGTGAGTCATTCCAAGCACTCCATCTCCAAAACGGCGTTGTATCTACAAATAAAATTATTTAAAGCTTCAAATATAGACTATGGCAACAAACTCACAAAGTAGATTGCTCCAGTTACTGTGCTATTGAATGTAGCCTTAGCCATCCTGACTTCAGCCCCAGAAGGATACTGAGGCCAGAGTGATGAGCAAGAGTGCGTCATGCCAGAGGAGCCCATTCTCATGGAGCCAAGTGAATGACCTGATATAGTCTCGTGGCCATGGATTGGTAGCTCTGTGACTCGACTACCACTTGGACTAAACCTCCTGTACTTGATGGAGAAATTACCTACCGGATAGCGATCAGGAGTACCTTCAGATCCATCAAGTGGTGGAGCAGAGTGTGGATTATAGATACGAGGGCGACCAGCAGAAAACTCATTCTTACAGAGCGAATTAGGAGCAATGGCCGAGCTGAAGACTCTAAGACCAGATGGAGAGTATCCAGTGGTGACTAGAGTTGAAGCAAAGCGTGAGGACTGGGAGGCGGTGAATCGGTTGATTGCCGCCACACTTAAAGTCTCAACTTGAACGAGAGGAGCACAAGCGAGTACGTTATTGCTTGAATTAAAATTAATGACAAGTGAGCCGCCATTAGCTGGGTCAGTGAGATTAAGAGTGGGATCTTGAAAGAAAAATGACCAAGCATAGTATGGTTGTGGTGCATTGGATATAGATATAGTCCTATGTCTACTACCAAGATCAGAAACAACGCTGCCAAGATTATTGCAGTTGCCTTCTCTGTAGTATTGGCTGGGCTAAGAAGGAAAGAACAATAGTAATTAATAACCTCATACAGTATATTGTACTATTATTGACTGGAACTCCAGAATTAACCCAAAACCCATTTATATAATATTATTTTCATATTATGTCTTGCTGCTAATGCAATGATATCACTCATCTAATTTCATTCTATTGGGCTTGTCACAATTTGTGTGGGCAAAGTATCCGTCATATTAGATCATATTGGCTACCATACCTTATTCATCCGAATACTCCATGGGTGATTCATGGTTGAGCTTGAGTTATTGACCCAGTATAACTTGCCAAAAATAACAGCACTCTCTCCCATGACTTGCCTCATGTACACCACCCCACCAACTGGATAAATGAAAGCAGCTTTTAGCATAGTAATGGTAGGGCTCCCATTCAACTCAGTACTGGAGACTATTGTAGCACAAACGTCTTCCGTTCCATGGATTTTAATGGAACGTCCAATGATGCCATTTACTCCAAAGAGAACTAACTCCCCTGTGGTTTCATTATAATTCCGCACGCCACTCGTAAGAGGTCCTACTTTTCCAGAAAGGTCTCCAACTTCACAAGCACTCTGGTTGTTAGGGTTACAGTACATACTATAGTTGCTCCCTAGGGACACAACGGCTCCAAGTGGATCAAAATGTCCTCCTATAAGGTCGTTACTGCATCTCATTGCAGGCGGAAGGGAGCCGTCAACTGGTAAGAGGTGAACATGCCAGTGGTGATTGGCATTAGTCCCACTGATATTAGACTGCATTAAATTGATAACAATGGAATAACAATTGTTACTAATACCAGGTTTCACTTACCATTATCATCATGCGGTTGTTAGGTTGAGGCATGAATGTGATGTAACCGGTAATCCCACGTATGTTGAATGTGGCCCTGCCATAAGTTTGACCTATTGCAAACAAACGATTAGTATAGCATTACTGTGTTCCTAGTTTTTTGTAAATCATTCTTCCCCATATTTGGTGAATGCATGCATGGAATGAAGGATGGCCGGTGTGAAGTTGTGAATTTAGCCAAGCTGCATTATTACATAACAGTTCTCATTTAAACCATGATCTAATGACTATTCATGCATGACAGATGGTTTTAGCAGCTACAGTCAGCTTTATTTGACTGTATCTTCACTCTGCTGTATACAATACTGTAAAAATGCATTATTATCAGGCATACAATGCTACAATGGGGTGATAACTGCTGGTAGCCATGCGGAACCGAATAAAGCAGCATTTGTACCACTTCTCATTTGCAAAGAAAACAATATATATAGCAGCTCGTTTAAAGGGACCATGTGAGATAAAGATAAAAGAGAAAGAAGAAACGAGCTACCGTTGAGTATTACTGACATGCATATGCAGTAGATATTATACCAAATTAATCTTCAGTTTGAAACAGCTGTACAGTCAGCTAGTACTGTATTGCACTTACCCTCAGTTCCTTTTGCTACAAGCAGCAGCAACAGTGAGAATGCTAGCATCACTTTAGTCTTCATAGTACCGTTGAAAAGTGGTTGAAACGAGACAAAACTCTTATTTTTCGATGTTAGGTTGAAAGTCAAGAATGTGGCCTTTTGTAGGAGGCTTTGGTGAGTGGGTAGAAAGTAATTAATTTAATTAACTAGCTCCACCTAATTGGAATGCGTGTGTCAATGATGCACGGTGTTATACGGAAACAGCATGGCTTCCAAAAAGAAAGGAAAGGGAGAAGTGACCATATCTTTAGAGCAATACGAAGCACTTCAGACAGAAGTGAGTTGTTTTTCAGGTTGGAGTGATTATTGAAGCTTGACCTGTGAAAGGAATTCTTTAAAAGTTGTTTTTACTGAGTAGAGAGTGTTTCTTTTCTTCTCATTCCTATTTTAGTTATCAACATGCAAGAGGAAATTAAGAAGTAAAGAAGAAGCCATTCGTATACTTCACCGCGAGCTTGAACTCTCTCAAGAAGAAAAGGAGGAGTTCTCGCGACTCATGAATCACATGGTAAGAAATAATTTCCTTTTGGCTCTAATTAGAATACTTGCTCTCTCTTAATTAGAAAGATTATTACCTGGAAGGACAGTCGCCCAATGACTCAACTGATTACGAATCACTTGAATTCCCTGATCAAGTAACCTTGCTAATACCATTATGTACTGACTCCCTTTGTCTGTATGTGACATATTACAATCCTTATATATAATACAAGTTATGATTTCATGTATATGTATGTGTACACACCATAATTATTATAGACTATGTAACCTTTAATAATATCTAATAATTATAATAAAGGAATATATTAATTATATATATAATATTATTATATATATAATTATATTATATAGTCTATAATATCTATGGTACACACACACACACACACACACACACACACACATACACACAGCTTTGTGTATGTGATGTATACTATAATCCTTACATGTAGTCATATGCACTTGTATGCCTTATGATTTCATGTATGTATGTGTATGTGTACACACATACACACACACACACGCGCACACACACACACACACACACACACACACACACAGCTTTGTATCTGTGTGATGTGTACCTTTGTGTATGTCCTAATAGTCCTAATGAATTTTGGCATTACAGTAATGTTTGTGTGTGCGTGTGTCACGTTAGTCTATTTCCTTGAATGAAGTGATATCAGTTGTACCAGGTATTAGCAAAATCCTTTACTTATTTGCAAAAAGGATTGTTTATGGTAAATAAAATAAATGAATAATGTTATTTTAACTTGTTTTTTGATCAGATGTTGTCCTGATCGATGGTTGTATGCCATCTGGTAATGTTTATGCAAATAATCTGTCATCCTTATCTTATGTATTTATTTATAAATCAAATTAATCAGTATACTATATGAATTATTGGTATCATTATCATGTTATTATTATTATTATTGTTATTATTATTGTTATTTTAGCAAACTAGCCCAGATAATATTTACCAATCATTTCCTATGAATTAAGAGTATAGCCATGATACAGTTACTATTAGAGCTCTAGCTGTTATTTAAAACATCTGCTACATGTTTAACTTAATCTAAATATGTACACATAAGTACTACTGCAACTACTCACACACACCCACACACACACACACACACACACACACACCACACACATACACACACACACACACACAAACACACACACAAACACCCACACACACACACACCACACACACACACACACACACACACACTCACACACACACACACCACACACTCAAACACACACACACACACACACACACACACACTTAATCACTCTTAATTGATACTTTTTCCTTTATAGTCGGTTGATAGAGTGACACAATTGGAGGGGCTCATTAAGCAACTGAGGCATAAGCACAAAGAGGAAGTACAGGTACATGTGAACCGTCTGCCTGTAATACTAGCATTAGGTTTCAGTCCATGATAGTAGACAGGTTTCACTTCTTAGTGCATGATATATCTGATATTATCTCACAACAGAGACACAAACACTTTCATTCGGCCTCTGTCTCTTTGAACTCTCCTTCCTTTTGTGTTGTAGTCGCTAAAGGAGAAGTTGTCTCAGGCCAGAGGCGTATTGATGCCTTCTCCGGCTTCTCTAGGGACGGATTTTGCCGAGGAAAAAGCCAGACTAATCTCGCAACTTGAAGCAGCTCAAAGTCAAGTACATGCCTTAATGTCTAACCCTCTGCCTCCTTCTGTCTTTAATCATCTTTTGATCATGAACTCATTTTTGTACTTTCTTTATAGATAATGTCTCTTGTGAGAGAAGTCCAGTCACTGGAAGATGAAAAAGAAGAAGCTATGACAGAAGTAAGAGTAGTGGCATGTTTTCAATGAAAATACATTTTCTTGCTAAATTACAATTACTTATTAATTTGTATAATCATTTCCTATTTAATTTTTGTAATATTTTAATAATAAGGTATGCTTTATCCATTAAAATGTCTTTTTTGTAATACTTGCAACACAGAGAGATGCTTTTGCTGGGAAATGCAACACGTTGAACAAAATGCTGGAGGAAAGGGTCAATGATAAAGTACCCTCTCGTAGCACTTTTGAGAAACTCCTGGATGAGAACAGGTACTGGTAAAGCATGATGGTGTGACAATAGTATTGGGTTTTGTGCGTGACAGGCAATTGAAACTGGAGCTAATAGAAACACAGGCTGACAGAGACAGTGCAATTAATAAGATTGATAGATATAAGGTAAGAGACAGTATAGAGCTAGTTTAAGGATATGTTAAATGCGATGACATTGATTAAAGAAGGAAAAAGAGAAGATTGTATTCAACTGTTGATATTTTATAGAGAGAAGTAACATTTATGTTTATCTTTGTAATAGAGAACGGTTGAGAGGAAAAAGAATAGAGACACACAGAACCAGGCAATACAATTCATGAGCAGTGAGAAGCTGTCAGGTTAGGCAACAAGGACAATTTCATTACATGTTCATGTACATATACATAATAGCTGAATTTAGTGTTTATGTATGGGATATACATTAGTTGATTTGTATATATGTGTGGGTATGTATGTACATATGTGGTTGTTGCTTGCTTGAGTGGGCATATTGTCATGGCTATGACTACTTGTTATTGTATATCTAACCTTACTTAGAAACCTTACTGCCTTAATGGCATTATGTACAACAACAGTGTGTTGTACTGTGTTGTTCCTTCCTCATTGTTTCAGTGAACTCCTTCAGGCTATACATGGCCTGGTATTTTGTAGCCATGCACATCTGTGGCAATAAGGACACCTTTGTTTTATTTCAGTGCATTAAAAACCAATTCCTTTTCTTTTACCAAATTTGAAACATAACATAAGAGGATGTATATGTATTATAAAAACTGAGAATTATCTCATAATCATTTTTGGTGAAATTTAGCCAGTGACCATGTACTACTGTATAATCAATAGCCCACGGTTTTTCCAAAAAATGGCTCCGGAAGCATCCCAATTTTTTATTACATTTTCTGATACATATTGATGCCCTTATGCTGTGTAGAAAGTTTGAGCTGATTCCTACTTCAATTTTTCAAGTTACGGCCATTTTAAGGAAGCGCCAAAATTCTGAAAAATACCCAAGGCTATAGCCCATGGTTTTTCCCAAAAAATGGCTCCGAAATCACCCCAAATTTCTATTATATTTTCTGATACTCATTGATGTACTTATGCTGTGTAGCAAGTTTGAGCTGTTTCCGACAACTAATTTTCGAGTTATGAGCACGAGCCAATTTAAAAAGCAAAACTACATGTATAGTACAGGGTCTAAATTTTTGAGCAACTTTAAAATTTTGTAAAAAATTCAAATTTGATCAGAATTAGCTCAAATTTAAAATATAAAATAAGATTATATATACCTATCAGAAAAGATTATAAAAATTGAAAATTCTCTCTTAGCCATTTTTGATGAAATTTGTCCCGACATCCAAAGGCTATAGCCTTACGTCTTTTGCCTAATTTTTGAGCAACTTTTAAAAATTCATAAAAAATCCAAACTTGATCAGAATCAGCTCAAACTTAAAACGTAAAATAAGAACATGTATATGTATCAGAAGAAATTATAAAAATGGAGAATTCCCGACTTTTCATTTTTTGGTAAAATTTGGCCAACCACCATATACATGTACTATAGCCATGGTCTTTGACCCAATTTTTAAAAACCAATTTTCATTGCATCAGCTTCAATAAAACTTTCTGCATAACAATAATGATTAGCAATTGTTTCTGCACACATTACTTATTATGGTTTGCTTTAATTGACTGTTTATGTGTCTCATGGCCTAGTAGTCTAAATTGTTTTTATTTTGTCTCTTTGTTGTGTTTACAGCTTTGAGACAATCAGTGAGGAGGGTACAGGAGCTGGAGGTGCTGGCTAATAGTCTCTCTGAAGAAGTGAAAGAGAAATCACTCGCTCTGAGTCACTCTAGAAAAACCAACAGGTACCGTAGGATTATCATAAACAATGAGTTGTTTTGGTATTTTTACCGTTTAAGTTTATAAAAATAATAGCTACTATATACATGTACATGTAAATCAATGTACATGTACACGTTACAATGCACGTGCTATAATACATGTGCTACACATGTATCAATTTATTATTTATCTACATAATTATACGTGTGTACATAACATGCATGATGTAATGTGGATTTTATGTACAGTGATACCATAATCACTGCTTGCATGTATTTGTGAATGTATGTGTATGAGACTGTTGTGTGTTATTTTATGATTAGTTTGTTTGTTAATCAGACTATTAGGTACTAGGATAGCTGAGCTGGAGCACAGATTGAAAGTACTAGAGATATCAGGATTATGGTCAACTCCAGACAATGAAGAAGATGACATAGAGAGAGGGAAACAACCAGCCATAAGCTGGGGGGAGGAGGAGGAGGAGGAGGGAGAGGAGGAGGTGGTTTTGGTTGAGGAAGATAAGAATGGATTATTAGTGCAAGGTATTGGTATTAATAACTAGTTATAACTGGTTAGGGTGTGGCTATTGTAGGGTGTGTGGCCAGTGCTTGCTCTAAAGATTGAACTATTGCTCTGCTTATATCATTAACATTTTCATTTCTTATACTCCATCATTCATTCATTTATAAGTATTGACAGTTAATAAGAAAACAGATTTGTGACTTTCCTCTTAGAGAAAGTTTAGAGCCACGCTAGAAGTACCAATGGATTCCTCTGGTCAAGATAAGGTCCTTATCCAGCCAGACACTAAAGCAGAATATTACTAAAATTTTCATTATAGCATACATTTTTCAGTGAATCAGTGTAGTTTCCTGTTATTGTTATAATCCACTCTATAATATGCATACAGCAAGTTTATCATGAAGTTGGGTATTAGTTATCTGTTTATACTTCTTATCTGGCAATCAAAAAAACAATGCACGTATAATTAATTAGCTAGTAGCAACTGAAACCTGCCATTTAATATCTTTAGGAATGGTGCTTTGTCTATATTTAAAGTTTCTATTTGGAAAATTAAGGTCTATCACTATAAATGAACAGTGCAATTTTTATCAGGCAACAATGATTTAAGCATGATTCAATGATTCCATGTAGTTTTTGACAGTTTTAGTGTGCTGTTTATGTTGTATGCAGCTTCAATTGATCAATATATATGGTAAGCATATACATACATGCATGTAAACTCTGCTTCCAGGTACTTATCAAGAGCTCTCAAACGAGTACTTCACTCTAGAAGAAACCCTTGATGGAGTCATCACTTAAAAAAAGAACTAACATCTGCTGCTAGTCAATTAAGACGTAGAAGAGAATGGAATAATATTATATTCTGAGCAAATTCACCATCATATTAAAAGTTTGTGTTTGGAGGAATGTGTGTTTTGTATTGACAATTTTTATATTGAAAGTACTTCCAGTATCATCTAGTAGTTAGCAGTAGCTGTTCCTCCTAAAGCTCTATAACAATGATTTATAAACCTATCCTAAGTGGTGAAAGGCTGCCTATACTTGTCTTGATAGTGTCTGGTATACTAACAGTCTCTCACTGTCAAGAAGATATTCTACAAGATATTGTCACTAATGTCAGTATTAGAGCATCATTGTTTGCAAGATCAACGACAGGTGAGTAAAACAGAATTTATAATGTAACTTTTATTACTTTCATTTAGATTGTAGTGAGTTTATCAGTCTCAGTAACTACAATAGGTATGGTAATTATATTCATTCCTTCTCTCACATATATTTAACTTCTCATGTAGTACATGTGAATCAGAAGTTCCATATGACAATGTCACTGATCTATCAGTAGTGGTGCATTTTGACTGGAATCCTTACTTACCATTAGAAGCACGTTGTTACTGTTCAGCAGCATTACTGAGCCTTCTCATACCTGAACCAATTACATCAGTACTAACCTCCTATCCATGTGCTGATAATGAGAATGCTACCATTTATTGCTCTAAGCCTTGCATTCATGAATTACAAAATGAAGTATCTTGTGATGATAATGAAAATTGTAAAGATCTGGCATGTTTTATGTATGGAAAGATGCCATATATCTTATCAAATCAAAGGCAGCTCTATATTCTTGTAACTGGCATCAACTGTGATACTATAGGGGGACATGCACTTGATTTATGTCGAGCAGTACTATTTGCAAGTAAGTAAATATACAGTATTGTATTACTATTGAGAGTGTATAGGTTCATCATCAACAATTGAGCCCACTCCTACTGCTACTAAAACTTTTACTGAGGAGGATATTGGTGCTGTTTTTATATTTTCTATCATATTTGTTGGAATATTTCTTACTTGTATCTGCACAATTGCTGCTGTATTGATAGGAACATGTTTTTTGAGGAGACGGGAAAATGCTATATCTCAGAAATCAAAGTCTGTGAACTTTGATATTGGTTCACATAATAGAGGTTTGTTTTGCTGTTAACTAGTCTAGTTCTAATAATTCTTAGTTACTATGATTCTTCAAGAGAATAATATGCCAGTTAACAGTCAACCCTCAAGCATGGAATCATTAATTGAATATTTAGTACCAGCCTCACAAATTGAAGTACTAGAGGTCACAGGGCAAGGTCAGCTATATAGATAATGGTATGA